TGCGGAATACAGGTCCACACCTGTCTTATTCCGGCTCAATCACTAATTAACTGTGGAAATTATTTTTTCATCATGAAAACGACGAAAAATCAGAAAATGATCAATGAAAGCACTAGTAAATTTTCCAGTGTGAAAAATTTTTTCCTGAATTTTTTATTCAGATTTTTGAGAGCTGGTCAAAATCTCTGATTTGTCTTAACCTGACCGAACTGCTCCGAAATCAAATATACGAATAGTTGACTTAAAAGTTATTCTCAAAGCTTTGTTGTTTTTCATTGAGATAGAGCTTAAAAAAGTATCATTTTTGAATAAAATTAAAATTCGGAGGCCGATTTTTGCTCAATTTCTAGATAATTCATACTGGATTGGAAGCCATACATCAAACTGATTGCGAGCAATTCATTAAAAGAAACCAGGGGATCTCAAAATCGAATTAGAGAGTGACCCGAGGAGACGGAAATGAAGCACGATGGGCAAATGGCGAACACGACTTGGAATCAAATCAAAAGCTGAGCCGTGAGTAGGCCGAGTTGTGGAAGCGCGAGACGATTATGTAAAGGAAGGGCCAGAAAGGTTTAATGAATGCCCGATGCAACGCCTCGAGTAGGTGATCATTTAAGTGCGCGGAATGATGCGTCGCCTAATTGTTTATGGAGCCATGATTGGGCTCTCTCGGCCAAGTGTTTGGTTTTCCTCCAATATCGAGGAAATTTTTCTCAATTGTCTTCAGCGTTATGACCTCGAAGTCCATTTTGTGAGAAGCCGAGTAATGATTAGAAGGTCAGTTTCTGGATTCGAAAACTTCTGGAAAAGATAAATTTTTAAAAAATAGTTTGAAAAAACTATCGATTTTGAAAATGTTGATGGAACAGCCTACATTCGTAAAATTTCTAAATGGTTGCTACGTTTTGCTAAAAAAGTAAAAATACAAATCGCAAAGCAAGAAATAGGCGTCAGAACCGATCCTTTTTAAAAATTGCTGTAAAAATCGAGATTTTATTTCAAAAAACCCAAATTTTTTTAATAAAAATTGAGTGAAAAATAACTCTGAAGACCTTTTCCGGAAGAAAAAATCTGATAAACCTCCTAATTTTCATTTCCTGTAGAGAAAAAAACGACTTTGAATAGAAAATTATCGAACATTAGACCTTACAGTTAGAAATGGCTAGCTCAAAAAAAAAGAAAGAATTTCCAGTTGAAAACACCCCAGCGAAAAAAAACACGAGAGTGGATGTATAGATGACAACGGTACACTGCGAAGAGACATAAATCTGAAATTTGAAACCGAAAACGTCGCGTGCAATTGTGAAGCGCTTTCAACCCGTGTACTTTACTTAAACCTGCTCAAAAGGATCGGATTCGCCCAAAGCCTCGATGAAAAAACAACCATCTTTCCACTCAACCTGCCAATTATTTAGCCGCCAAGTGTAACAACATGGTCGAAAATGTCGCCGACGTTTTGAAACGCGAGATCCTGACAACTCAAACGTCCATTCAGTAAATAAATCAAACGGAGCGCGTCTGGATGAATGAAAAAGCTTGCGTGGGCGTTACGAATTGTTGCGTAGCACCATGAGATAGTCAAAATCATTTTAAACAAAGGTTGAAGCTTTTTTTATTTTTTTAATTTCTTTAGATCAATTTTTAGACAGAGAAATTTCTTAAACTTGAAGATCTTATCTTGAGTTTCTGTTTCCGGTGAGCACGCTACGAAGAAAAAGATTACAGAATTTTGCGAAAAAATTTCTGCTTGAGTTCAAAAATCGATTTTTCGGAATTTCCGTTAAAATACTCGTTTTGTTTATTCTTACTGATCCTTTTTCTAAAACTGAATCAAACTTCAAGCAAGAGCTTGATAGAAGTTGACTTCATGATTCAATATATTTCAGAGCCGTGAAACTTGAAATTTTAATAAGTCGATATCAGTAATTTTCCATAATAACTAATTTTATTGACTCTCAAAAATTGAAAAAAATATTTTTTTGATGTTTTTTTATATTGAACAAGAACTTTTTAAATTTTTGCTCTTCAAAACTCAGAGAAAGACTATACAGAGGAAATATGAAAAAAGAGGGGATCGAAATTTGTTCCAAAAAAGTTTTCCCCGGTTCACTTTTCACTGGGCCGCAATCCCTCAAAACTGTGATACATTTTTTGGACTTTCTGAAAATCTACTGAACTGGGATCCAACAAGATTTATCTGAAAAAAAAAATCAAAGTTATCTTAAGCTTATTACAATACCTTGAGGTATCGAGTACTAAAAATTAATAAGCAAGTGCCAGCCGATGAGAAGGACCCAAAAAACGTGAAAAGGTCATCAGAGAAGGTTCGACGAAGCGTATCGGCTGGATTAACTTCGCCGAGGGTTGGTCCTGTTTGTGGGCAGAGATGAGCCAGCTCCCAAATAAGTCACATCCGTGGGAGAGCCAACACCTGTAGGCTTTTCGGCCAAACAATGTGCGCTTCTGTTTTTCCGAATAAACATTGACGACTGTTTAGCAATAAGAGCTTATTAAACTTTTTAGTTGAACAAAAATAATGAGAATGATTTTAAAAAAGGATGAATGATGAATAAAATGTATAGCCGAGAAGATACGTGAAATGGTATGAAGATCGTAGTTGGTTGATCGCGATGACACTGGACAGAAGTCATTGAAATTCTTTGGAATTATTGAAACTTCTTCAAATTTGAGATTTCTGAGAGCTTCAAGTTGCTAAAGAAACACTCCGAAAAAAAATTTTGTTTTTTAAATTTTTTAGTATGTTTTTGCAAAGTCGCGTTTAAAAATCACAAAAAGGCACCTTTCATTCAATACAAACGTAAAGAATAGATATATGTCATTATCTTACATTAATAAAAAGGCCAAAATGAATATGCAAGAGGAATCCAGAAGATCATTTCAACAGAATAAACATCAAGAAGAAAAAGAGTAAAAAGGCACAATTATGGGAACCTGTTTATTTATTGTCGAAATGGTCTGAATTTCCAATTTCAATGGAGAAAGAACCAGAACTGCTTTTATGATTTCCCGTCTCATGAACAACACCCTCACTTAAAATTATGAATCAAAAACTCTGACCTGAGAAACAAAGCGTGTATATTGAAACATGGTATTTTTCTTCGTCAGTACCTACTAGCAAAAAAAAACTACACACGAAGAGAGTTTTCGCATAACAATAAATATTTGTTGAGACAAAAAGAAGGCGGGACATAAATATAAGAAAGCTGGAACATTTGAATCGGCTGGAAGGAAAGCTCGCGGATGAGTTCCCTCGGGAAGAGACCCATCGCCTTTGTGTCAGTGACAAATGCATTCCTTCAAAATTTCCCGGATTCCTTTTCCGTTTTTATTTTAATATGTACAGTTCGGTCATAATGAGCATAAAGTCTACTTGAAACTAAGTTGAGCTCTTATCTTAGTTTTTTTGTTCCGAAAAGAATTTTCCAGCCTCGGATGGCTTGAATCGACACTTATCAGCTGTTCCTTTTTTCATCACCAAAGTTGAAAATTTCAAAACTGACTTTATAAGTTTGTAATCTCTATCGATTGAGGAAGTGTTTCAAAAAAAAAAAATTTTTTTCCAATTATTTTTTCTAAGTACATGGTCATCGGAAAAAAAAACCAAGCGATCATAAGGATGCCTCTGAGTGATCAAGAAGGCGCAGACATATCAGACAGTTTTAATTCGTACCGAGTGGTTCATACTTCTCAATTTTCTTCTACTGATAATTGAACGAGAAAGATTAATTTTTTCAGCAGACCAATTTTTATTTTCGTTTATTCATTCAGTTTTTCATCAAAACCTTGCTAACTCAACTCAATCTCTAAGTTTGCTCTTTATTTCAGTTTTCAGAACAAGAAGTCCAGACATTCTTTCTGCCGAAAAAAGACTGTCCAACGGATTCTTAAAAGTTAACACTGGGCATTCGGTCTCGTTATGGCTTTGGCGCACGAAAATGAGCGTTTTCGTAATCATCTTCACGTTCTCGCTCCTGTAATAACTACGTTCTGAACTAGTTTCTCGAATCAGACGTGCTTTTTAGCATCTGCGTTTATGACTGGTTTTACGAAGAAAAAGCCTTTGAAGACATAAAATCAATTTATTGTTCGAGTATAACGGTAACTCCGGTTAAAATCCACAACGGTAAGGAGCCTAGAAATAATGAAAAAATTTTTCAGCTTTATATTTCAATAACCCCCAGCCAATCGACCAAGTTGCAGACGGCTCAAAAATAGAACAAAGTTTTCATACCTAACAGAGAAGGTCATCTTACTATGCGGTTGGGAACTTTTTGAAAATTGCCGCAGGCCTCATTGATGTACCAGAAAAGGATTCTGAGTGTTTTAACTTGCGCAACTTCCCCGTTTTTGAGTAAAGCTATCTAAAAAGCAAAGAAAACCCTCGAAATTCATTAAAATGAACTATTTTTGGGCATTAAGCCTTCATTTCTCGAAAACTAAGAAGTTGTGCAGATTGAGATTTTCAGAATCTTCAGCTGGTACATCAAGGAGCGTTCTAGCCAATTTTCAGAAAAATCCCAACTGCAAAGTAAAATGACCTCTTTGTAAGTGAAATAAACAGCTAACAAGTGAATTAATTTTCATTTTTTTTTCAAAATCTTCTCACGGTTTTTTCAAGTTTTTTTTTATTGAGTCGGCTGAAATAAGGTCTAAGGTATTTTATAAATCCAAATTTCGCAACCTTTCGATAAAAAGTCGAAAGTTTGAAATTCAGTAATGTTTATTGACCGGCATGCTGTATCTGTTTTTTTAAAACAGCAATTTGAAGTATTCGTTTTTTTAACAAATTAGAACGTTTTGCAAATAAAAACTCTGAGCTCATCAAACTTATAAATCAAAAATTCTGTTTTGGGTTTCAGAGGATACCTAAGCTCAAAATGCAGTAGCCCTTATACAGAAAATATCAATATTTCCTCTCGATCTGTTCATTTTTCTTTTTCAAAGCAAAATCATTACAATAATTTCATCCAAAACTCATGAATCCAGCATTTTTCATTCTGTTTGATCAATTTTTTCCACATTCCTTCGTGATCCCAAGGGCGAGCCATGATCCGCTGCAGAGGAGGCGGCGCCGCGGCAGTGAAAGGGCGACCAACTGTGGATTTCGGGACCTGGACGGCTTCTGGACCTCACTCCGGCTTGGCTTCGGCTTCTGGACGCGGCGCCGTTTGCAATCAAGACGGTTTTGGTTTTCCAACCTGCCAATTAACTTTGTGGCTTGCAATGGCTCGCTTTCAAGCGTTTTGGAATCTTTTGTTGTTTTCAAACGGCTTCAGTGGCATCTTTTCTTCCTTTGAATATTACGGAATTAGATTTCGTGAGTTTTCAAAAAGTTATAGCTTCAAAATTATTTAAAGACATCGGTGTTTCCTACCATTTCAGTTTCAAATGGCTTGGAATAACTATGCAAGAGTTTTTTTCAAACTTTTAACTTTTTATTCAGAGGTGAATGGACTTTTTTTTCTGAATCAGATAAAAAAATAGAAAAAAATAGTCAAATTTTTTTCTCTTCAAAAAAATTAACGTGAAAACCAACTATTTCAAAAAAATTATAGCCTTCTAATAAACGTAGAAAAAACAAAAAAATATGGTTTCAAGGCATGTTTTTCGCTATATGAATGCATCCACAACAAAGTTTCGAAAACCCAGAGAAGTCATATAAAAAGGTTTTCTGGAAAATATATATTAGCTGATTTAGAGTTCCCACAGGTAAATTTAATGAACCGATAAGCTTTGAAGTTTAAAAAAAAGCAAGCCTCAAGAGATAGAAATATAATTTTTCCCTCTGTTCCTTCATCTCAAAACCGTACGTTCCCATAACCGGTGGAAATTTCGACATAAGTTTTCTGTTTCATTTTAAGCATTGTGAATGAAAAAAACCATCTCTTTTTTATGCTTCTGCCCCCTCCACGATAATTCGCGATTTTTGTCTATTATCTCGATGTATCGTCGCGAAGCTTTTTTCGGCATCTTTTCAAGAGACCTCATTGGGCTGGCACAGATATGCTTATTCAATCGTCCACCCACTTGAGCCTTCCGTCTGCGAAAAAGAAAAGCGTGTTCTTTTTCGATCTCACGATCATTTCGGTCATTTTCAGAGCGCAGATGTTGCCATCGCAATTTTTCTGGTGGATATTTTTGATAACTTCTGCCGGCGGACAGCTGGAAACTGCGATTCCTACCATCTACAAGTTCATCGCTGACAATTCCTACATATGTGAGTCTGAGGGCTTTTCGAGAAGCTTGTTAACAGCTAAGGTTAAAAAAAAAGTGGACTTTACAGTTCACTTAGTCATCGGGAAGGTGGAACATCTTCCTCAAGGTCTTACTTAATGGACTAGTTTAATGGTATGCTACAGAAGTGTAGCATGATGATTCTATCACAGAGGTAGACTCTCACATCAAGTAAACTTTTTTTCCAAGAAGGGGGCTCTGCATTCCCCTCATCTCTTTAAAAAAGTATTTACCATTCAATCACTCAGAATGAACTAATAATTGAAAAAAAAATCATAGTGATAAGACTATTAATAGTTAATGCGTTATTATTTTCTTATTGCTACCATTTTCTTATTTTTCGACTGCTCTGAAATGGTTGTTATCCAATCAGTTCAAAGAAAAATATTCACCAAAACTCGAAAAGTTAGTTTTCCCGCAAATATACTGAAAATCCAATGAGGTCAGCCGAAAAAAACTTAACGACTGGCGCCAAAACTGTAGGACAAATTGCACGTTAGGCCTCAGTTTGCGCCTCGAAATTTAACCTCCAAGGCTTCCGAAACCAGTAGTCCCTTATTTGTAGCAACATTCCAGGACGCAAAACACGCGCCGATTGTTTGTTTTCTGTGTTTCGAGCAATCCTACCACTTCAGGCTTTTCTGTGTATTTTGGATTGGCTGAAACTGACCTGCGAAAAAAATAGAAAAAAAACTTGTTCATGGTCTCCTTGGTCGAAGAAGGAATTTCTCAAAATACTAGTGAGGAACTCGATCTTTAGATAAGCTTGAAAAATCAGATACCAAAAAATTTATTCCCAAGTCTTCAAAAAGATATTTTCATTTGAAATCTTTCATATATCCAAAAAAGAGAACATTCTCAGGAGAAACGTGAAAATACGCCTTAAAAAAGCGGTTGCCATTGAATTGTTAATTCTCGTCGTAAGCGGCAGAAAAGTGTAGGAATTCACCGTTCGTAAAGAACAAATTCTTTTTCGCAACGGGGCGCCTCTTATACCGCGCTAAATTTACAAAGGAGACTTTGTGAAACGTTTTTCCGGATTTTTAGGCAGTCCGGTACTTCTTGGCGATGGCAGCGTTGTTACGTTTTTGACCGAGGCTGAAGGTTTGAACTGCACCGAATGTGATCGGGTTCGTTGAGATTTTCCTTTCTGACCGATAACTTCTTCTTCTTTATAAATTGTCTCTGAAAAGTTTTTTTTCAGATCATAGCTGACGTGGTGCCGACAAGCGCTTGCGGCATTCGAGAAGAGAAAAAAGTGAAGGAGCCAGTTCAATGTTTTGAACGTGAGGAGGCTTTCTTGGTTTGATCGCTTGCCAAACCGCTAAAGTTCTGTCCTGTCATAATTGAAGTGCAAGCCTTGAGAACCGGACACCTTTCAAAGGACTACTCCGCTTTGTTTTAATTATCGCCTTTGGCTTTTCTGAACGTTCGATCGAAGCCAAGCGGCGATTATAATATATCATCAATGTTTGAAAAACAAAAACCCTTATAATGTAAGATATAAAGATGCGATTCTGAACACTCGAATGAAGCCACATATAAATCTATTTTTAAAAGCTTCTGAAAAAATAAAAAACTTAGGTAGGTAAAAAAAACCAACGAATGCCACCAACTTGAAAAACAAGTACGGTTCCCAACAGCTCAGCTATCAAACTGTTGACTGTGATAGACGATTCAGATTCCATCAAAATATCTCTCAATTTGATTTTCAGTGCCTCCATTGTGCGTAGAAGAGTTCGCCCTCCGTTATTCGAGCAAGTTCATCGAAAGGTCTCAAGAAGATGAAGATCTGGTCAGCGACAGCGTGGAGAATGACCGAGAGGACAACTCCGTTGAGACGAGCACAGAACAGATAATCAGAACTCGTCCTCGTGTCAGAGCCTTGAACAAAGGAAGCGTCGTCATCGGCTCAGAAGGCTTGGCCCCAGTCGCAACCACCGTAGAGCTTTCTACTGTTGTCCCTTCGACTTCTACAATCACCATAAACAGCACCGAATCTCAAGAGGTGGAGGTGGACGACTTCACCAACGGATCAGTTGGTGAATCCTTGTTGGCCGAGGCTCGAACTATCATTCCTCTCTTCACGCTTCCAACCGACCCTCCAGCGGCTGAAATCGAAATGATCACTGAGAAAATCGAGTCTTCCAATAATCGAGACGGAGAACCTGAAAGACTGCCTGTCGAGGACAACGGACTGGAAGACAAAGAGCTGGCTATCGTGAAGAGACGGAAGATCTTCATCGGCACTACGACTCTCCCCACGACAACTGAGCCGATACCTACAACAACTCCGATTTGCATGGACAAGCATGAGGTCTATTTTGAGAGATAGTGATTACAATCTTTCACAATTCCAGCTCTGCTGCTTCTGGGCGACCACTGGCGAGTGCGAGAAAAACCCTTTCTGGATGAGAGTGAACTGCGCAAAAACCTGTGGCACCTGCGACTGTCCATGTTTGCTTTTCCTCCATTTTTTACTAGTTTGTGTGAAAGTTCTATTTCTAGTGAAAGACGCTGACAACTGTAAGTCAAAAGGAATCAACTGCACATTGCCCACGACCACCACGAAGCTGACCACGACCACCACGCCGAGCACTACAACGACTACTGAAATGACGACAACAACCGCATCTACGGTTCACTTTTTCCCCATCCAACTTCACGGAAAATCTTGCAAATGACGAAATTCAGACAAAGAAGAGGATGACGAGACCGTACACTCCACCTGACAATGGATTCCGGCGCACTCAAGCCACTAAACCAACGCAGCCTACTATTACCAGCACAACGACGAAGGTTTTTATTGGAGACTTCTATTTCGATAAGAAGTTCCTGATCATAAAAATGACGACAAAATATCGCTTTAATCAATTTCGTGTCTTTGTCAATAATAATTGAAAGAGAAATTTCAAAAAAAAAACGACACATTTCAGAGAAATAGGCAATTGGAAAAAAATCTGCGCGATACAATTTTTTTAAAATGAGCTTGGATCAATTTTTATCTCTCATTACTGTTTCAAAAAGAATAGTAACAAAATTACGACTCTTTTTTTATTAACTGTCAGCTTGCGAAAACTGACCTTTCTGGTTTTTTTCCGCATTTTTTCAATGTTCATTCAACTTTCTATGAAAAGTCCCTCATAGAAAAACTTGAAACTTCTTTTCAATATAATTTCGCTCAAAAAATGGCTTGAAGAACTTTTCCTCAAAGGGTTGTTTGCCTGAAAGTTTGAAAGAAAGCATCAAAAAAACTTTTTCGCTTCAGCCAACAACGACAACTCCAACCACGACTTCAACGACGACGACCACCACGACGACAACGACTACGACCACGGAAGATCCATGCAAAGATTACTACAACGAGTGTGCCTTCTGGAGCATGCTCGGAGAATGCCTCAAGTTCGAGCTTCTCAAAGTTTCCCGCAAAAATTTCTTTTCCAGGAACCCGTTTTTCATGCGACCAAACTGTCAAAAATCCTGTAGTTCTTGCGCAGAAACTGTGGAGACAGTATACGCTCCAACTCCACGACCAGGTTGAACAAAACAAAGAAAACAACAAAACATTGCGTTCCTCTCTAGCGGAACGCTCCGAATTCCTAACATGGCATTAGCGCTTGAGACCAAACGGCTTTCTCATTTTCAAGAGGTGTCCTCTCAAGCCCTTTTTATGAAGTCTCATGAAACTTGCCCTTCTTAGACTAACTAGATTGATCCAAAAAAATGTTCTTCTGATTCATTCTTCACATCTCAGGTTGCGATAATGGACACAAGTACTGCAACTTCTGGGCCCACATCGGCGAATGCGTCAAAAATCCAAACTACATGATTCCATACTGTCGCTTGGCTTGCAGGGTGTGCTGACAGTAAAAATCAAACAAATTTCAACTAATTTATGTGGAATCGCTCCCAATTTGCTGTTGTAGATGACAGATTTGAGGTGAAGTGTTCACCGCCTCGTGTTTGTTATTTTCACCGTTTTTCGTCCCTCATTGCAAAATTATTTATTTTTTATTTAGAAACTAGTTTATTAACCATTATTTATGAAGAACTATTTTTCGATGAAATTTCGATCATCCTCGATAAATTTTTTTTATTTTGTGTGAAGATTAATTTTCAAGATTGATACAGTGAAAAAAATGACAAAAAAAGAGTTTTTTTGTAATAAAAAAATCGAAAAAAAGTTTCTTTTTTTACAAATAAATTTATCTCATGAAGATCTAAGAACATCTGATGTTTATTGTTGAGTCTCAGATATGGGAGAAAAAAATTCATTCAAATCATCAATCACTTGTTAAGATATTTGAAAAAATTTTTTGCAAGTTTGTAAAAAAATGATAGGGTTCGGTCCTGAAAGCCTGGAAAAACTCAAAAAATCGCTAAAACAAATTTTTTAAACATCATATTCCAACAGTTTAAGAACTTTGAATTTTTTTGTTTCATTGTTAGCTCTACCCATTCTGAAACTTTATGCATTTGTAAAAAAATTTTGTATTTACTTATTAATACTGAACTATTTGAAATACTGAGCAACATATTTCTCGACACAGCGTTTGTTGTCCATGTTGAGCAAGAAAGTGCGATGATGTCCTGTCGAGACGACGTAAAGAACCGCGTATCTGCGGTCTTTCAGAACTTGTTGGAACATCGTTTGCAGCCGCTCCATGTGATTGGGATGTCCACTGTGAATCTGCAAAAAAATACCTTTTTTTAAAAATTAATTTATTAATCGATTTCTCAGTTTTTCCTTGTTTTCGAAACATTCACGGCTCAATATTTCAAATCCAACTCCTGCATTTCAAAAAAATTTTTTTGCTTTCTTTTTGTCCATAATATGTGTTTTTTTGTTTCCGCTTATAATTTTACTGTCCTCTCTGGCATTTTTTTCAACTTAAGATTTCTATATTTTCTTCAGATGGTTTTGAAAAACGGTACAAAAAAACTATACTTAAAAAACTTTCACGACTTTTTTGATTTTTTTACTGTTAAAAAAACGCTTCTATCAAAAACAAAAAAATCCCGAACTGACCTCTGCGTTAATTTGACAGACAACCAAGCCATTATCATCAAATTCACGGTTCACCCCCATCATTGGAATAATATCATACTCAGGACCTGCAAAAAGCTTCAGAAAAAGAAAAATATAGTCAAATACCTTCGTTGTCCATCAAAAGTTGGTCAACAAAATTTTGAGCTACCAGTTTTTTGAGGAAGGTTATGATATCAATGTGAACCATCGTCTGGAATACGTACCAGCCTTAAAATAATATTTGAACTTTTTGAAAATAGTCGAAATACCTTTTTTTTCTGGCGGCATGACATAGGCTTGAGAAACTTTCGTCTCATTTCCCACTGCAATTGGGTAGAACTGCCCAATTTTGGAGAAAAGTTCATCGTTTTTGGCGTAGATTGGATCAGCTCCGAAGAACAAACTTCCCTGAGAAAATTTATTCCACTCTCTTCTTTTGAAATAGAAATACTTACGTTTGGAAGAAGTCCTTTCAATAATTCTTCCGCTTTTACGTCCCAACCAACGCCAAGAGTAACGACATAAGATGGATTTTTCTGGAAGCATCTGTGTTTTTTCGAAAAAGTAAGTAAAGACTGACGTCAGTTTGATTAAACAAATGAAATTTGAACTCGTCTTTATTGTGAACGCCAGACATGTTCAGGTTTTTCATGGCCGTGGTTGTCCTACAATCGTTTATCGTGTCGCGGAAAACGCCCCACAGCTGAAATCTCACCATCCGAAAAAAAAATATTGAAAAAAGCTGACCTTTTGCGCGTCATTAATATTGTCACCAAGTCTTTTCACAACGCAGTCGTGCCATTCGTCGTAAGCTTTTTCTACTTTTGAATTTTGAGAATAATCGTATTGAATGCCTCCGGCCACTTTATGCTCTTTGACTTTTGATAAAGAAGTTCCCTAAAAAACTGTTTTGATAATAATTACGGTTAAAACTTCTCACCGTTTTCAAATTTTTACTCGTTCCTGATAATACAAACAAAATCATACAAAACGCAGCTATAAAAAAAATCAAATTCCTGTAGAAATAATTCACAGCCGTCATGATACCTGAAAACACGGTTTTTACGAATTCAGTTGAGAAAAAGCTTTAAAAAGCGTACAATTGGTCTGGGAGCACAAATTGAATATAGCTTCACATTTTCGAATAACAAAAAACAGACGGAGCTTGTTGATAACAGGTCAACATGACCTGTGTATCGATTATACGCACACCAATTCTCGATTATTTCTATAGAGTGTGAAATATACAACGCTCCACCAAGCTTTCCTACATGTTTTTGATCCTGACCCCCCACATTTCAAAAAAAAAAGTTCAAAATTTCGAACTTCTAGTACTTGGGGTTGATTTTTAATTTTTTTTTAATTTGGAACAAGAAAAAAGATAGATGAAACTAGAAACTGAAAGGAAGTGATTGGTCGGGAAGACTAACGGGACTGTCATTGACCTTAATGGTTGTTGAAGAAGGATTTTAATAGGCGATTGAGAATAAAATTTAAGAAAAAGGTTATAAAAATTACTGTTCGGAACAGTTTGGAGTGATTTTTTTCATAGACATTGTAGTTTATGAAGAGGCAAGTTTGAAATGACTGCGAAAAAGATGGATTCACTAAAACTGAAATAGAAACACAAGTTCAAAGAAAAATGAATAACAGTTAGTTTTATTTATAAATTTAGCCATCATTCAATATGAAAAAAAACTATTGAAAAAAAAAGTATAACAAAGTTGGTTCATAACGCTTCGAACATCGGAAGGAGAAGATATTGTGAAAATATTGGAGACAAGGAAAGCATAAATTCCAATCGTAATTTCTAAACGACTTCACATGCTGCAGAAAGATTGATAAGAACAGCCCCAGAAAGAAACTTTCGAAAAGAATCCCGAAGAACATAATAAAATGCGCGGAACATTGACACAACATCAATTCGCGAAGAAACTCGCTTTCACCTTCCTTGGAAGAACGTTGACCTAATTGAGGAAAAGGTGAAACTCAAATCTTTATTGATGAATTATCATTGAAAAATTCCGAAAAAAAGGAGAAATGTTATTCGAGTCTATCGAATAGTTCCGTTTCGATGTGGCAACCGTTGCCAACGTTTCGATTCCTATGCGATTTTTTTGAAAAAAAGAAAAAAACTAAAAATTTGCAATAACTCAGAAGTTGAAAATTCTTAGTTATCGGAAAGGAAAGAGAAGTTGAAAAATGTCAAGCTTTTTCGAATGGATATGTGGCATTGTGCGTTTTGATTCCGTTTCCATTATATATCTGTTTTTGCAACTGCAAAAGGAAAAGCTAACAATGAGAAAGAATTTCCTGCCGAGGTAGCCAATTCGTTTCAACTGTCTAATGGTTTTTCCCAGAATGTTTCTCTCTCGGCCAACTCGTAGGCCCGTTTGCCTTTTTTTTTTTGAGGATTCTGACCGAGACGACGGAGGAAGAGCGAATGTCGGCCTAAACTCAAAATAGAGCCAATCAGCGCCACTTTCGAGCAAATTCGCTCGGCGCCTTTTTTCGTTTTTCTGCTGCATTTCTTGACTTTCAAGATTTTCAGGAAAGTTTCGGAGCAACTTTCTTGGTTCATTTTATATCTATGTGCGCTTTTGACTATCCTGCAGAACTTGTGCTCTTCTGGAAATATTAATATTATGTAAGGGAAATTTTTAGTTTCAACATTTTAGTTATAGTCGCCATCATCTTGAAACGTACAAAAACGATTTTTCATCCGATTCTATGACATCAAAAAATTGAGTTCTAGTTTTTGAAGAAAATCATGACAAGTATATTGAAGTCCCTAATTTTAACATCTCGAGAGGTTCTCTAAAAAAAAGCTAAGACCATCTGGAAAATTTCTTAGTGGCCATTATATGATTTTGACGTTTTAGCGGCCTTATAGTAGTCAAAATAGTGGCCATTAAAGGGGTTAAAAATTAGAGGCCACTGTAGAGTTTTCAGTGCTACTACAAGACCACAAAAAACTTTAGTGTCCACTCTAGGGGTCAACGCATTATCATAGCTGTTGCAATCTGTTTGTTTTGAAATTATCAGAGTACTGGAAGGAATACTGGATGAAAAACTATTGAAGTGGCCATTAAAAAACTTTCCCAGATTGATGCCCAATTTTCTTGAATTTTTAAATAACGATTTCCCTTAAGGTAAGGTTCCTCGCCATTTGAAAGAATATTCCATTATGTGTCAACCCAAAATCTCAATTTTTCCCGTACGCTCTCCGAAATCTCAGACAGATTGAGGATATAAAAAGGCTCCTCTGAGGTGTCTCCCTATTCTTGAAGCCGTCAATTAGGGTTTCGACTGCGCGATTTTTGCGTCTGGAAGGAGCACGACGTGTGGCGCCAAGTATGTGCAGTGTGTAATTAGAAGAGTTAGGCTGTCCCTACAGAACGCGGCTTTTTGCCATCTGCGACGCCAACTGCCTTTCTCGTCGTGTTCGCGCAAGCCGATTGTCTCGCGATTCCAAAAAAGGAGCCTGTCCAGCCAACTGTCAGTCACTTCTTCTCAATGCACTTTTATTCCACTTGACTCTGAATCGCGCCAATTGATTTAGGTGAATTGCCCACTCACGCTTGAACGATGTCCTTTACAAGGTCGTGGGGCTCAGTTAACAGCATTTTTTTTTCATTTCGTTGAATTTTTCTGACAGGAAATGGTTTGCAAACCAGGTCGGGGCAAGGATAAGCAAAAAAAAAAGCAAACTTTTGGCGGAACCGTTTGTTCAGCGCTAACTAAACTTGCAGAAAAATTGAGGTCAAAGCTCAAAACTGAGAATTTATCTTCATCATTCCAGTATTCATGGACAAAGTTGTTTTTGCGAAGGTAAGTTTTTGAAAACGCATCTATACCGAATAAGTCCAATTATTGAAAAAAACTCAAAGTTTTTTTCCTGAAAATTTCAATTTTTTTAAAACAACAGTTTTCACATGAAATGGAATAATTCAATACAAAACTTTACTTCATCTTTTTGAATTGGTCTGTTTCATAGTAAAAAAATACATTAATCATCAACTTTTAAACTTTCGAAAATGTGTAATATCGCGTTTTCGGCATTTTTCCTCCTCTCTACCCAATTTGAACCCAAAATATTTTTAACGAACAGCTCTGACGGAGAAAAAAACTTTTTTGAACAGAAGGAACGGAGCCGCGAGGGATGAGCCCAAAGTTAGAAAGAGACGCCCGAAACCGAGCGCAGCCTTTTTTTATAACTTCCTTTCAGAATTGGAGTCAGAGTCACGCGAACTCGCTTTCCGAGCTCTTTTCTTCCCCTGAGCCTCTGTTCGTCGTAAAGTTTGAACCTTTTCGGCCATTTTTTTCTTCGGTTTTTTTTTCTCAAAAACGAAAAAAGAGTATTGAGAATGAATTCATACGGAACAACTTTTTATCATTCGAGAGAAGAAAATTTTCTTTTTTTCATTCAGGAAAAGTTTTTCTGAAAACTCAGTTCGACTTTTCCGGCTTTCTGCCATATAAAACCCAACGGAACTGAAGGTTTGAACGTTTCGTTACATTTGCGTGAAGGTGTCAAATTACCTATCCGCCTGCTGCGCTTTCGATCAGTAGATCTGTTTGAGCCTGGACCTTTTTTTTTTGACTTTTCATGACTAAAGGGTTGAAGTTCTGAGTTTTTGATTTATTTTGAAAGCTCACAACTCATTTCTACATCTTGAAAAATAAGTTTTATGAGTTTTTCAATAGCTTGAGGTTTCCGCCAACTTCCACTGAAGTGTCGGCAGGCCGTACTTCAGTGGAATTCAGTTATGACTCAATTTAGCGCCTTGGCAAGGCCCCGCAAAATGCATCTCATCATTCCAAAATGAGTTATTTGCATCACTCATCCGGCTTCCAGCACCGAAGTATACCCGTCCTTTCTCAGTTAACGAACTTTTCTCTTCCGAATCTTTTTTATCTCGAACTTTCTCTCATTTTTTACTAACTCAAGCTGCCGTCCACCACTTTTGCAGTGTTTGTCTGTTTGTAGGCAGCCGAGGCGCCGAATGATAGTAATGTCGACAGGCGAAGGTTAAGTGCGCTAGCCAACATCCGCCTGATCCATTTCATCTCTATTTCATCAACTCCTATCAAAACCTTAGCTCTTTAGATTTTTTCAATTTTGCGCAATCTAAGAAAAAAGAATATTCAAAAGTGCGATGTTCAGTTTTTTGCGAAACCATGCCTTAAGTAGTTATTTCTCCTCGACAAAATTTACTGTAGCGCTTGAAAGCTCCCGGCATTTTCGACCGTAAATTTAAATTGCCTCGAATACTGTGTGTCGAGGAAATTTCTGTAACAGTAGAACTTTTGGACTTGTTAAAAAACCGAAGTTGAAGCTGTGCAAAAAAATTCCGTTTTCTGTAGCCGTAACCGCTTTTACAAGAAGCTCTCAGGATGCTAAAACTATTTGATTCGATCCAAGTTTGATCACGAAAGTTAATGTTTTACTTGAACAACATCTCATTAATCAAAAACAATGCGTAGAATAGAAAGACAAAAATTTTACGAGCTTTAATTATTGTATCGCTCGATAAAAAAAAATTGTGTCCCCCCTTCAAATTGAAAAGTTTTTGAACGATTGAATTTTCAAGCTTGTTTCCCTGAAAGCATCGGCGAGAAAATCGGATAAACGATGGCCCAAAAATGCTGCCACAAGTAGACTTGCAAGTGTGATCAGATTTCCCGCCAAGGGGAGCTGCTTTTCTTTCGAATTTGACTTGCAAAAACTGAAGTATTGCTTTCCTGGCATTGAGTTTCAGGTGCCGCCGTGAGAAAAAAAACCGAAAAGTGTTAGAAAATCTCAAGAGTGCCATCCTTTTGGTGTTGCATTTTTTCAGTGTTTTCGAAACTCTCCAATGGAATATTCGGACATCAGAAAAAAAAAATGAAAAAAGTTAACTTTTTTATCTCAGCTCTTAGAACTGAGAAATGTCATCATTTGGCAGTGTTTTTTTGGGCCAACGCTCTGAAAATTAGTGCGGAAATTGGTTCCTATAATTGGCAGCTTGCATGGTTTGACATTGGCTGCGCGGCCCGCTGTGAGGAAAACTGACACCGTCCGCCAATTACATAAAACAAAGGTTTCTTCCGTTGATTTGAGTCTTCTAATCACATATTAGCTCTATAAACTGGCGATTCAAGCTGGAAAAGCATATCATAGAGATGAAATTTGTGAATTGCGTCTGCAACTCACTCAATGTGATTTCCACAGAGGTTTTTTTGGTTTGAAAACTTTTTTCCGAAAAAAAAAACATATCTTTTTTCTCGAATTTTCATTGAAATTTCAAACTGGAAATGGAAGGCCATAGATATAGCTTTTATGGTTTTGAATTCATAACGTAAATTTTCACGAATTTTGTTCTTGAAAAGTTTCAAGGTTGTCAAGTATTACGCTCAAAAATAGTTTCGTTCCAATGAAAATCATGTTCTCCACACATTTATGAATCCGAAAGCTGAGTAAACAAAGAAAAAATGGCATGTCAGATAAACGAAGGGTGCGCCGGGTTGTCTGAAACTTGATAGCCGGATTAGGTACATGCTGTCGTTGTTGTAGGCCAACAGAGCAAATCAAGTGCCATGTTCCTATTCGGCTAACAACCGGCGCTTTCATAGCTTATTCTGGCTTTTTTCACTGCTTTTTCTTCTTGAAGTTTGCAGGTGTTTTTGAGATTAGATTTTCAAAAGTTTTTTTCGTTTTTGAGCATAAATTTTTCAGTACAAACTTTTACAATTTTTTCTAACACTCCGAGTTTTCTCAGAACGGACTTCTTTCTGATTTTTCATTAGAATGTTATTTACCGAAAAAGCTTCACATTCCTGTGTCTGCTCTCTGATCTCAAATTCTCGTCGTATGAACCACTGAGCTATGTTTTTTTCTTTTTATCACACTTAATTTTTTTTTGAAGTAATTTTGTTTTCTACCAACCTGGGCTGGTCTTTCGCATAAGTTCCTTTTTCCCTGCAATTTCAACAATATAAAGTTTTTTCCATGATTATTTATGACCTTCTCCGTGTTTCAAAAAGAAAGACTTTGCGGTTAAATTCCTTCATGGGAAAACGAGTGAACGACCTGGATGATGAAGTGTTTCTCAGGTCAAGGGAGAGCGATGAAAAAAGCCGCAGCAGCTGTCTTTTCACGAGCCGTGTCATCATCATAAACCACATGCATTCTTCAATATCCTGAACGTTCTTTTCATGTTTTGTAGAGTTTTAGAGTCCTTAAGAGTTCATAAACTGCGCTCATTTTGATTCTATCCTTTTGAACTTCTCCAGTTCTCTTACAAAACGAGATTTTTTCAATTCGCTTTTCAATATTCTTTCTGGAAGCTATCGAAATGGGGTATGTATCAATCACTTTAAAGCTTGATTAATGCTTGACAGGCGCTTTTTTTTAGTTTTGGGGAGTTTCAGTTTTCATTTTCGAATAAAGCTGTTGTGGCTCTAGAAAACCCTATTTGAGATGAAAACACTTTCGGAAAAATCTAAGTTGTAACCAAATATCTTTGAACGGGAAAATAGATAAAGGTAGCGCCGGGGGAAAAATCAGTATTTAGAAGCTCGACCTCGCGCACTTACCTCTTTGCCAATCAATCAAGCAGCCGCAGTTGCATGTCTAATCCAGCCACGCGCACCCTCCGTTTTTTTTTTCACTCATTACGGCCAAAAACCACAGCGTAATCCGCTTTTAAAGCAACGCGAGCTGTTCGAAGGGCCTTTTCCATTCATTTTATGTTTTTCCTTTTTTTTTTCGTTGCTCTGCCAGTCTCTGAAAACCCCGAAAACAGACATTCCTTTGTCCTTACATCATTTTTGATATTTATGTGCATAGATAATGAGAACGAGTGAGACTTCATTTTTTCATTCAGCTTTTGCCGCTCGGCTGAGGCTTGAGCTAATTCATAAAGAAGTGAAAATCTTTTAGATTTTTTTTTTTGTTAGTAGAGTTATAATTCTTGATAAAAGTTCTATGTTTATAATAAATAAAAAAACATTAACCAAGATACGGAACCAAATATTGCTGGGTTGAGACTTGGGCCACGCCTCTTTTTGGGGCTCCTAATGAGAAGGGGCGACGGCAAAGGAGCATTTGGTGGAACCTTTGGGTTCCTGTTCGAGGCTCCATTCCTTTTGCATTTCAAATACCCAAATGTCGAATTTGTTGACCTTACCTATACATTTTTTCCTTTCTGTTGAATTCAGCGTTTTTTTTGAGCTCCAATTTTTCGCAGAATTTTTTCTAGTTTACTACAACGTTTCAAAGAAGGATGGGTGATTCAAATTAGAAATTTTCGGCTTTCTAATAAGTAAACTGAATAATCCAGCTCTCACTCAATTTTTAAAGGTTGAAAAAAAGAAAAAAATGCCAAAAGTATGAGAAATTTTTTAATAGTTCTTGCGTAAAAAGAAGTTGATTAGGGAAGTTATCTAACTGAGAACAATCTGGAAACGAGTCAAAATTGGACCAAATCTTGGAGCGAGCATTGTCTCATTAAAGGTCCTTTGGCGATTTCCCATACTTGGCGAGTTTCCGGTCAGCCTTCAATCCATCATTAGCCGGTTTCACCCACGGCCACCACTCAACTCACGGTCCGACTCCTTTGCCGTCACGGCGCCGCCCACCGATATCACAATTATGAACTTTTCAATCTCACTTTTCTCCACTGCAGCGCCGCTTTTTCTCATGTTTATTCTTCTCCTTAGTTTATATCATGCTCCGACAAGCCCTCGAATTCGAATTCACTATAAGATCCTTGTTTTTCCATTTTCTGTTCTAGAATTGAATGCGTGAAGATCTTGGGAAATTTATTTGTTCCTGCGTTCTTCGTTTCGCTATCATCTTTCAAATATTCCGCTCGGAGGCATCAAAAGATAGCTGAAAGATGTTTTTGAAGCAATTCCCTGAGCTCTATGTCTGCCATATATCTTTGAACTTCGACACCACTAGGAAGAAGGAAGAAAAAAGAAGACTCTGGCAAAAAAAAAAACGACTCTCCTCGCTCTTTTCTCGTCTTGCAGCAACGACATCGTAAAAAATAGCTGCATGAAGCTTGTTTGAAATAACAGAATATACACGTTTTAGGCTCCTCTCAATGTGATCTCTCACTTTTACTTCATGAGGGTGGCAGCTTGAGGTGGTCTTGGACCAATAATCGGCCTCCTTGCCGCCTCAAATCACGCAAGTACGTTCGTACATGTATGGATGTGTGCGAGAGTGCATGTCCGGAGGGGAAAAGTGAAGCAATTTGCTGAGAAGACGTTAGCGTGTATGCTTGTTTGCCTGAAAAATTGTTGTCCTGTTGCCAAAAGCCATGCGTCCACTTCCGTTTCAGCTAATGTGTCGCAAAAAAAAAAATCCATTCTGTCTGTTCACAAGCTCTGAAATAGTGATTTTTTTCACGAATTTTTTTCTTGTTTCACATCTCTTAACTTTCAAGCCGTTATATAGAGGGTTAACATCGTTAAATTATCAAAATCGAGCCTTATATCCTTAAAAACATGAAAAGTCCCTTTTAACGGAAATCTGGTTTTTTTTTTCCTTTAAAATTTGGTTAGAACTTCTATGCTCTTGATAATAATGAACTAGAAATTAACTGGAACAAAATTTAGAATCATCAAAATAGTCCCGTACTTTTTTCAAGAATCCAAGTAATGCCCATTTTTCCACAAAAGCAAGTCCCTCGGAGTATCCGGAGGTAATTTTTCCTCACAAACCTACTGAAATCCAACGTGATTTGCCGTTTTTCGGGTGTGCTCGATGCTCAATTGTTTATCTCATTCCGCAAATGGCGCAGTCGCTCGACGGCGGCCTTCCAATCGAATGAGAAGAAGAACCCTCCATTCCGTAGAAATAAAAAATTTCACCTTGAATCCGCTTCCTCTTTCATCTCTCAGCTCTTGAGTTATCTTCGAAGCTTTTAGGTCTTTTCGAAGTGGATTTGAAGCTGTAAAGTAAAATAGTGAAGTAAAATAGTAATCAGTTGGAGTATGACGTATGGACAATGTGATAAGAGAAATTACTTTGAGAAAAAAACTTCAAATTTTCCCTTCAAAGCTAGCAGTCTTTCGAAAAAATCCAGGTTAAGAAATCTCAGTAAAAGCTCGTAACTTTTATTTTTTTTTCGCAGCGACGCTATTTCTTCTCAGATTTTTTTAAGGCGGAAGACGTTAGAGAGTTATGGGACATCCCTCATCGTCGCTGGTTCCTCATCCAATTATAAGACAATTGAGCGGCTGGCAGCCGCGCGACGACAATCGACTTCTGGTCGGCTCATTGGCAGCTTTGAACTGAGCTTTTGTCTGCTTCTGTACTTTAGTTTTTTTATTTGACCTTTTCTTATTCTTTGGATAGGAAAATAAGATTAATAGAGCTTATTTTGCGCTAAAATATGCAACTCTTTTTTTCTATTTCCGATCAGTATTTTGAAAATTTCGAGTGTGAAAAAACTGAGAAAAAACAAAACATTTTCAAAAATCCTTAAACATTCCCGGAAGAGTTGTCACGGAAGTTTTTGGAGTCTCTTCGCGTTAAAAACAGGTAGAAACTGGAAAAATCCAGTAGGATTGAGAATCCGTTTTTTTGAAACCTTACAGTGTCCTTCATTATTGCCCGGAATCTCACAGGGCTTTTTTCAGTATATTTATGACAATCGGATCAAGATTTGATTTCATTTTCTTGATTTTCAATTTCTTTTTTCATTGTGAAAATGACTGGGAAAAAGTTCAAAAACGGCTGGTTTGGATGCGAAAACCCTTAACCACTTTTAATGCCATTCTCGAACTTATGAGTTTTATGATTACTGATTTGGTTATCATTTCCGCATTATTTAAATAAATCTCGACAAGCGAGCACTTATCCGTAGGGCAGCTTCGCCCGTGGAACGTTACACTTGTTGTCATCTCGTTAACGCCATGTTTGCGATTGTGTTGATGTGTCGTGGGTCCAACAACTCGCGCATATCGCATATCCAAAAGCTCCCCCGCTCTGAGCTCCAATACGCGCTCTCGAAGCCAGACGACCACTCCACCTTGCAACATTTCTCTACGCCCTTTTTCGTGTGTCTTTTATTCTTTTTTTTTCGAATTTCATTCAGAAAATTCATCCAGAACCATTTTTTGTTTCTATCTTTTTATTGAATCCATTCTTCGTTGGCTGAAAAGCCAGCTCTGGGAATTTCGAAAGCGGTTTCCAATAAACACAAAGACATTTATCTTTCGAATTGTAGTTTTTCCTCTTTTTCTGAAAACAAGACCAAAATGGAAAAAGAAAAGTTGCAGGGAAAACATTGGAAATTGCTTACTATTTTTCACTTTGTTACGATTTATTCTTTCGAGCGTTCGTTTCTCTCAATGAACTCCGCTTAGAGCGGCAATCATTGATGAATGAGTTTTACAGCGATTGACCGACATGCGGATCTTGCTGCTTCTGCTCGCGATCAGCCGATTTGCCGCAGCCGACGAAACAAGCGTCTTAGCTAGTCAAGTACGTTTCCAGGGTCTGTATATGATAAAAATGCTCGAGAAGTATCAATAGATCATCAATATTGTTTGTGGTTTTTCTGGTAAAATATTTGAGCCCCCTTGAACAAAAATTTTTCAAAAAAAGTGTTTTTTTCAGGTCAGTGATTTCCAGATAAAAAAAGAAATCTAAAAAAAGTTAACTTCCTTACGCCAAAAAAATAATCTGACTTTGGATTATAAAAGGAAAATTATCATTTTTTTCCAATCTTTAATGTTTCCCAGTTGAAGAGATCATCACAGTCTCTTTAGTCGAGTTTTTGAAAAATTTGAGAGAATGTGAAAAAAATTTTTAGAAGGCCGGATTTTTATACAAAAAAATTGAGTGGTTATAGCTCAAAAAAATTTTTCTAAAAAAACTGAACGAAGAATTTTTTTCTGAAAAAAATTCTTTTTGTTTTTTTCCTGTTAAGTACGTTTCCGGAAGGTTACGAGGAGCCACACGGCGCCAGGAAATGTGCACCTGTCTTGGCGGGATAAGCCTAATAGAGTGCCCTCGATCATCATAAGAACACGCTTGAGCGAACTGACACATTGTCAAGAATTATGGCCTCTGAGAGCTTCTATTTGCGGATCTTCTGAGGTTAAGCTGTGCCAGGAGATCTGAAGGTGACAATCAAAAATTTCGTTCGAATATTGCTCTGTTCTGTTTTTTTTTTCATTCATTCAGAAGATATTAAATTAAAGTTTGAGAGGACTTTTTTTTGTGAAACTTGAAAATAATTCTCGCGAAATCACCAACTACTCTAAATTATTCAAAAAAAGTTCTCTTCAGAGAAAAATTCGACAAGTTTGACCATTCTAGTCAGCTGAGCGAATCAGAATGTACTTTAGTCCAGTTTTTGAATTGGAATCAACAATAAATATTTGAAATGCACTCTTTTATTGTAAATTGCCGGTTGCCAAAAGGTGTGAATTGACGTGTGATTTTGAATGACAGCAGCATCCATCCTTTAATGGACCCATCGTCAGAGAGTTTTTGGCGTTTGAAGTGCGGAGAGAAAATCGCTCTCAAAGGTTGCTTTTGCATTTTCCCAGCAAAGCGGCAGGCCGCCGCCTTTCATGAATCCCCCGACGCCGGCCACGAGCTCCAATCAAAACGCCATGATTCAATTGACCAATTTCTTAAGGCCTCTAAAAGTGAAAATAACTTGGGAATTTCGATAACCTGCTGAGCAGAAAAAAATTTTACAAATAAAAAGTTTTCATAAAAATGAAAATTTTCATTTTTTCAAGTTCAAAAAAGAAATTAAATTAATAAAGCTCTTGCTGAAAAACTTTGCAATATAAGTATATTTTTTTGGTTACTACAAAAAACTGTTTTTTTAAAGCTTCAGTACTTCTTGAAATAATAATCCTTGCTGAAAGAGCAAAAGCTGTTGGAATTTGAGCATTTGGAGTCCATTGGAAGCATTTCTCCTGGACCTTTGTTTGTTTTGAACAAAGCATTTTCTGCCAATATCGAATCATCCAAAAGGGAAAAGATGCTCTCGTTCACACCTTTGATCGAACCGCCGGAAAATCGAATCAACTCGCGTTTTCAGTGCAACTACGCCGGGCTCGTTAAGTGCTTCATCAACATCCTGGATGAATGGGCTTGGACCCTGTATGAGCTGAAAGACAACGTAGTGACTATCCAGCCGGAGCAATGCGACCAACTCAGAGAACTCGAAAAGTGCATAAAGGTCAGTTCAAGTTCATTTTCAGATCATTTCTCTTTATGATTATAAGATTGAAAATTAACATTTATTCGAACTGACAGATAATGTAATTTGCCAATAACAGGCTTTTTGCAAAAAAACTCTCTATTGAGAGTCCGACAATTCGATTTGAACGTGAGCCCTGTCATTACTCGGAAGGCAAAAACAAACCATCGGTCTATCATTAGCTGCCGCGTAACGATCTGATTAGTGGCATGTGCCCAGGGAAATTTGGGGTTCTTCTGAAGCCGAATGAAGCCAGTTGCAATTTTAGAACTTAGTGTAAAAAAAATTGTTTGGGTTTTTTTTCAAAAAAATGAAATTCATTCAAGAAAACTATTTGAAAAAAGTTTGCTAAAAGGAACTGCTAGAAAATGTTTGAAAGACATTTATTAATCTCGAATCCCAAAGGTATAACTCATCATTTTTTCACTATGTCTTGAAAACTTCCGGCTTTTTATGGTTCCAAGTATTCAGGTAGCTTTGATAGCTTTTTTTTGAGACTTTCAGAAATAATCCTTCAAAGTAATCTCACTTAGAATATGTCGGCATCCTTTTCAAAACTGAAAAAATGCTTTAAAGCTCGATATAAAACATCTTCTGCGGCGCCTTCAAAAGCTACTTAGAATGCATGGATGACCGGAATCTCAGTAATTTTCCACGTTTTGCGTACAGTTCATCGGAAGACGAATCAGAGCCGCCCAGAAGCTCATTTGCATACAAAAGGCGGCAGGCAATCGGCTTTGGCCTCGGCGCAAAACAATACAGTCTGTGAATTTCCCATAAGCTAGCCTCATTATGGTCGGCTGCTCACAGATCTTGACGATTCGAGGGAAAATGCTTGTGTCCCACGGGGTTTAGTCATGAACCATTGGAAATAAATTGGCTTGGCGTCGAGTTCAAGTGTCGATCTGTCTTTTGTGTCCTTGGGTCACTCGTCCGATCTTAGTACCTTAGTCAAGTCTGAGAGCCCCCACCGGCTGTCACCATTGTCCTGTGCCCAAAACAAGTTATTTTCACTTGAGCAAGAAGAAAAGCAAAAACAAGCCCATCTTTTAATGAAGCTGAGAAAGGCTTCTTAGACGCCGATTGGATTTCGTAATAATTCAAAATGTGCATAACTTCGATCAAAAGAAAAACCAAATTCATTTTTTTCTCGCACAGAATTTCGAAGCAAAGACTATGTTTGTTTGTTTGAAAAAAAAAACTGAAGAGAAGCTCATCGATTTGCAAAGTTTTTGCACCCGGCAGCTGTGTGTCGCGTATTCATGCAAGCTCTCGACCCGACGTGCTTTAAAAGGGAAGGCGCCGTTTCTCACGAGTTATTTTGGCCAGCAATTTGGACCTTCTCGGCAAGTTGCAAGGAAAAAGACTTGTCGTCCTCAGGCCAATTATGCAAATTCTTCATAAACACTTTTGGCGGAGGCGTGCATAGAGATGTGCTAGGCGTCGACGATGAACTCCATTGGCTGGCTATAGTTGTTAGCGGAAGGCGCGACTGACCAGCTTTTTGAAATATTCAACCAAAAATTCAACGAGGGCAATTAGGGGAAGGTAAACAAACTTTTTTGTGAACCTCTCAATTTTACTACTTGAGGGTGGAAATGAGTTGCTCAGGGCTCAGACTTCAAGTTCAGAGCGCAAAGGCACATAAACTTTTGGAAAAGTTGTTTGAAAATTGTCATAGCGTCTCCAAACCGTTTGTTTACGTTATTAAGGGCTTCTTCATCCGAATATTTTGCTTCTTGATTGATTTCCATTGGGTCAAACGACTGTTGAATCTTGAAAAGGTCAAACTATCAGAGTTTGCAGTTTACAAGAGAAGAGGAAGTGTTGTAAAAAATATTAATTTTATTTTTTTATGGATCAATTTGTAAATTCAATCTTCATGATAACTTAATGATAGGGTTTTGCCCGGTATTTTTTGGAAATGTTCTCAACTTAGGTTGGAAAAAATTTCAATGGATTTGACTTGAAGTACAAAATCTGTTATTTGATTCCTTTTTTTCGACTAAACATTATCAACATACCTCAACTGACAATATAAAAAAAAGAGAATTGTTTAGTTTTTCAATTTTTTAGTCTGTAAAATCTCCTAAAAATAGCCTCTGTAAGTTGGAGTCGCCTATCGAAAAGCTCTGCACGGATCTCGGAGGCAATTGAATTATCCTGGTTTGCGAATGATAGGAACGTCTGTTCTGCCGCCGACGTCCTCAGGGGAAATGTCATATTGGCACATTAGCCGAGTTGGATGGACATCGGGGCTTGCCGAGAAAGTACACATGTGGGGAGTGAGAAACGTCCATTTCCGTCGCATCAACTGAAATCAGAATTATAATTTCAGTCCATCTGGCAGTTTCCGTTTCTTAGGATTTGTTGAGAAAACATTGAGGAACCGCACCCGTTCAACGAGACACTTGGGCATATGGCGAGAAATTGCTCCTACCAAAGATTTCGAACAAGCTTGGCACGCAATCTTAGCCCACCTATTGACACCCAATGAATTGGTTTCCCAGGCGGAATTGCTAGGCGTTTAATGCATAGGGACGTTAGTCGCAAAACTTGCAAGCTTAACATTTCAGACAAGAAAAATGGTCAAGGAATGTACGTCTGAAGGGATTTTGCTTTGTTAACTTCTTTTCAGATTTTTTTAGAAATATTTCATTCTTTTTACTTTCAAAAATCGGAAAAGTATGTGAAGTTCAAGAAAGTGCAAATAAATTTAGTAAGGTTAAACTTAAATGAAAAACGTGTGAGTACATTTTCAAAGCTCATGAAATTTCAATACTTGAAAAAAATAGGTGAAAAGAAGCTGGAGGAGAACTAAAAGAGAGATCCTGAAAAAAAAAGAAATTCATTGTTTTCCGGGAATTGGCTTTCAAAAATAAAAACTAAAAATTTTCAGGACGAGCTACCGGAACAGCATAAATGTACGCACAGCGAAATCGTCGAAGTTTCAAACACCGTTTCTGACCTTCTTACTCATCGCAAGGACTCTGGATCTTTCCTCAGGGTATATATTCAAAAACTTTGAATTTTTTTATCTGAAAAATCCTTTTCCAGAGCTACTACCTTCTCCAGTACTCATGCTCCGAAGACGGACAGAAGATCCTTTCGAAGCACCGAACCTGTCTGAAAACAGTGAGCTCTTCGCAGTTTAACACGACCGTTGACCCAATTATACCGATCATAAAGCTTGTCAAATGACGCGAGCCTCATAAAAGTATTCCGCCACTTGTCGGCCCCAATAACTATTGTAATCAACATATGCGCCACCTCATCGCACAGCATAAGTTCTCGAAAAATCTCTGGGCTTTTTTTATTGAAGTTTTGAGGGCGATTCGGTAAAACTATGGAAAAATAATGGAGAAAACTGATTTGAAGTTAATTTGACTATATTTTGGTAATGACTGAATTTTTGTTTGAAAAAATTTCCATCATATGGTTTTTAAAAGCCGAAACACAAAATAAGCTAAAATAACAGTGAAGTCATTTCAGCCACGTTTATTTTTTTGTTCCAGAATCCCAAACTTTTTAAAAAAATGTAAAAAAAGAATTGAAAAAAACTCTATGTCTTGTTTTTTTCTACTCGTTTAGATTTTTTTCACTGTTCTAAAAATAATTCCAAACTTCGAAAAATAATTCTGAATACTGTAAAGTTTTAATAGTACCCACAGATTAAGAACACCAGTTGGATCGAGAAAAATAGAACTCCAAGGCTTCGAATTTTTTGAAATACATGAAAAACACATTTTCAGGAAAAAATCGGAGAGATGACTTTATCCGCTGGTACCTACTTAAGCGAGAAGTTTTTGGAGCACGAGGATTCCAAAGTCTGCGAGAACGTGAGTACCGCTTCGCCAAAACCGAATTTAAAAACTATTTGAAGGTCAACACGAAGCTTCAAGAATACATCAAAGCAATGGACGGGATTTGCAGCAAAAATGAGGCGGCTCAGTTGATGTGCCAGTCTTTGAAGGACATGTTCACGGTTGGTTTTTTTCAGAAAAATTTTTTTAATAAATTTTATTAATTTAGGGAATGCACGCTGAAAAAGTTGGACCAATGCGTATTGGAGTGCAATATTCCTGAGGATTCTACCGAAGAAGAGGACAATACTTTGGTGTGTTTTTCAGAATGATTTTTTTTCAAAATGCAATTCTTCTACTATAAAATCTTCTATTTTCTCAGTAACAGGAAACTCTTGATGATCGTTTGCTTTATTTTTTTTCAGAGTATTCGCGAAATTTCCGGCATCAACATTTATTACCATCATTTTTAGTGAAGCTTTTGACTTTTTAGAGCTGAATATAAGACCGAGAAATAATTTCGAACGACCGAAAGTTATGTCTTGATTATGAATCAAAAATTAGTTCACAGACTTTTCTGTCACAAAATGTGAGAAGTATTCAGAAATAATTTCGTAGTATGTGCGACCCTCGCAGAAATTTGTTACTCCTGAAAAAATTGTCTAGAAGTCGTAGAAATGAACTTCAATGTATCCCCATAACCATTAAAGTTTTCAAACTGACTATTTTAAACATCGCATTTAGCAAAAGCCAGCAATCAGTTCATCATAAATTTATAAATTCCTGAAACTCATAATTTTGCATGAGAAGACTGATGTAATGGTCAATAAGACATAGAAGAATTTAATAAACCCAAACTTCTAACTAAATTTTTGAAAAGAAACATCTTGCAAAAGTTTCAAAGACTGATTTGAAGTCATGTCACCCTGAAAATTGCAGGCCGACTCATCGGATGCCGAGACGGTGCAACAGGCTTCCGAACACGACGCCCTGCGACCCGCCGACGCGGCTGCGTCGTCGCTCTCGACGTGGAATTTGCCTCTTATTGCCATGCTCCTCCCGCTTCTTAGATAGGAAACTGACGCTCGCTCACACAGTCTCGCTAGCTATTTTTCCACTCTTTCATCCGCGACTTTTTCATATCGAGCAACAAAAAATTAATATCTGCTCGTTAATTTTCAGAGCGGTTTTAAAGCCCTTTAGCTGAGCGTTACGAAATGAAATGAAGAAGTCTTTCAAGAGCATTTATCAGCCCTAGAGAAGACCTTTGATTCTATTCTGTGACGCTCATCTCAATAATTAAATGCGTCATTATATAATTTCCTATTTTTGCAATTGAGCCCCAAAAAAATCGCAACACAGCCGCAAACGTTACGGTGAGCCTATCAAGAGCTACAGTAAGCATTACCATCTTGCTTTCCGTAGTCTTCATTTTCTAGTCCTTATAAATTTACCCCGACACTGCCAAACAATAAATTTCATTTAATAATTTCATTCAATTATTCTCTCTAAAAACTCATTTATTTTTTTATTCAGTGTCATTTGAGAACTCTCCAGAGTTCAATTTGAAGAGTTTGGAAAAACTCTTTAATTTCTCAAATTCTTCATTATTTTTTTGTCATTACCAAGGATTCTAATTGTACGCAGTTGTATTTAGCCGGTTTTCGATAAACAAAACCTTCGTCTTAGTTTTGAGAGATACAATCCTAGATAGTCTTTTCGCAATGATAAACTAGTTCCATAAAAATATAACATTATTTGCTCCCTATTGATTATTAAATTCATGACAAGATGTTGGAAGTAAAACTTGCATTCGCTTAATCCTCATATTTAATGTGTTACGCACTAAATTGATGACGTCTTCACTTCCCTTTTATTTCGCCTCCACATTTGTAACCCTTAAAGTGCGATAATATTTCACAAATTGCTCTCGGTTGTGCTCTTTTTCCGTCTGTAGTAAACATTTCGATAGTCTTCATAAAACTCCGATTTCACACGGTAAACACTCACACACAGAGAAAGATAGGAAGGGGAGCGGAAATTTGATTTCCTTTGGAATTGAAGAGTTATTTGTTACTTTCGTCTTGCTGGGAGTCCTGGCTGCCCTGCTTGTTTTCCAGATGCTTCTTTTTCAGAGACGCCACGCGACACACCGTTGAGAGAGTTTCGTCGATGCAGTTTCTGTAAATCGTCAGTTATAATCTGATAAGAAGATTTGTTCGGTTTTTCTATTACATTTGCGTTAAACGGACTGTTTGGAAGGTTTAAAATTTGAATTTTTTCGAAAGGATGAGTGGAAAATTTTGAAAAACATATCTTAAATTGGTGACTTCTTCTCTTAAACTAAACGTGTTTGAAGACGTTTTCGCACTTTGATGAAAGTAATATCTTCTTTTCTTCAACTTATAAATGTCTTCAACTAACCAAATGATTTATCGTTTCATGAATATAAAAGAAAAAACCGACTTGAACTCTGAGCGGACATCCTTGGACTCAGTCTCATCGGACTCGACTTCCTGCTCGACCTCATCCTTCTCATCGGAGACCTGCACGACCGGCACCGGAGACGTCGCCATCGACCGCTTCTGAATCTGCTCAAACTCAGCAAAGGAAGTATGGGCGGCGCGAGTGGAAGGAAACGCCGGGAGTCCGACCGAAGCGAGAAGAATGGCGACATAATTACGTATATGACTACAATGCTGAGCTGATACGCTTTGCGGCAATCAACAACAGCCGGATAATCCGCTGAGACACCGAAGGGATAAAAAAGTGGAAAACTAATCTCAATGAAGAGCTTCTCGGTGGGTGCACGTAGAAGTGGATAACTCGGTGAAACCAGAGCTTTTTTGGACATCCGACCGCAGTAAACGAGCCGGAGGAATGCTGAAAAATGGACTGGGTCTGCCAAAAAAAGAAGGCGGGTCGGTCGCCGTGAGGCCCCAAACTTCGGAGCATTTGTGCACTCTCAGACGATTTCCCGTGTTTCCCTAGTGATAGATTCCCAGGAGTTCTTTGTTCATTCCTAGAAAAGGTTCGTAGACAACTTTCTATTTTAGCAAAAAATAAATGGAATGCCTTCCAAAACAAAAATTTACGAGTTAACCTCAAGCAAGCGCCATTTGAAAATGAAAAAAAAGTTCAGAAGTGATGGAGAGAGCGAAGCCTTGCATGCTAACATTCCATAAAATAGGCACGAAGCTGACGTTCTTGCCAGTTTACTGAACTTTTCATCTACGTCCGAAGAAGCCTGCGATAGAAATCTCATCTGTCTTATTCACGACTGAAACTTTGAAAAACCGCACACGAACTTTCGAGAGAACGGAAGGTGCTAAAAATAATCCATCTAATGTGTTTCTGCGAACATGTCAAACCCAAATTCTCTGCTGACAGCACTGAAAAGAACATTAAACATTTATCCAGAACACGCACATTTCGCGATTTGTATCATTTACATATTATGCGGGAAATTACATTACATTAATCACAAGTAGCAGGTCAAGAATAAGAAAGCGGGTTTACTGAATGCTGCAGTCCTTCTTGTTCTTCTGGGGAGGATAGACGGCGTGCTGTCCAGGATACTGATCAGTGCTTCCGCCGCTTGGGTACATCGTGTTGCTCTGTCCTCCATACTGATCCTGTCCAGGGTACTGCTGGCCTTGACCTTGATACTGGTTCTGCCCAGGGTACTGCTGGCCCTGACCTTGATACTGGTTCTGGCCAGGGTACTGACCGCCATAAGGTTGAGGTGCAGACTGGTTACCATATCCAGGGTTCGACTGGTTTGGATTGTAAGACGGGTACGGCGGCAAAGGTTGCTGTTGCGACTGAGGATAGCCCTGGTAGTTCTGAGGATTCGGACTCGAGTTGTCCGACAGCGAAGGATAGGCTGGAGGCGGTGGAGCTGCCGTCGGCGTGTAGGATGGTGGCTTGTTGGCCTGGTCGAAGCCCGTGACGCGGATGATCCTCAGATGAGTACCATGCGACATTCCCGGAAGTGGTTGGTCGAAGTCGCCCCAGACGTAGATGTTGCCTGCAAGAAGTCATTTTTTTTCTAAAAATGATATCTCAGGAGTTCATAAAGATTATCCAGGAAAGTCAGCTCGGATAAGCGCAAAGAAACGTTACTATTGAGATTTGAGGTCGTTTTACAAAGAAATAGGGATTTTCGCAACTTTCTGAAGTTCTAGGAAAAGTTTCAAAGCTGCAAAGTTTTTTGAGAATTTGCAGTTCCAAAACCAGCGAGAACGTTTTTGTCATATTGATGAGTTTTCGCCGAAATCTAAAAAAATCAAATCCTCGAATAGAGTGGCCCCTTTTTGCTCACTGAGCGGAGAAAATATGATCTTTCGCATATTACTCACCAGAATTAGCGACTGTAAGACGTGGCTCAATGAGTGGACACGGCATTTGAGACATGACTTGAGTCCAACGGAAAGTATGAGTGTCGAGAACCCAGTAATCAGTCAATCGCTCTACGTTGCCGTAGCCCCTGTCGATTTCGCCTCCAGCCATCAGGATAGCGTCTGAAAATATACGTATTGATTGTGATTTTCTCTTTTTTCAATTTCATGAAAAAATACTCACTTCCAGCAGAATCAAATCCGGCTTGTTTTCTAGGTGTGGGCATCCCACGAGCGTTATCGGCCGAAGTGTTCTGCGTGGTCATCTGAAAAATTTGTTAATAAAGTATTTCAATTTTTTGCAGCAAGATGCTTACGTTTTTGGGGTTGTTCAGGTTAAGGAGATGAACACGCGAAGGATCAAAGTGGCCGTCAGGCGATGCCGACAAGAAGACGATGTTTCTTCAAAATTCACACATGGTTTCAGAAGCTCTTTTCCCAAAATTATGAAACTTCCATCTCAATTTTTTTCACCTATTTTTATAACGGCATTCTGTAAAGGATTTTATTCTGATTCTGTTATCTGTCTGCTAAGATTTCTAAAATTTTTCAAAACTAACTCCTATTTCACTTTTCGTACTTTCCGGTTTATTAAACTTTCAATCCAGTTTTTTAAACTGATCAGAACTTTTCAAGCCCTACAAAAAACCAACCCGTTGCTCAGAAAACCATCATAGAAATGTTCGAGCTGAGCGCCGTAGATGTCGTTGTAAGCAACGTAAGGACGCGGATTCTCAGCCATTCCATCGATTCTCCACAACTGAAAACTTGGTTAACTCAAAGACTTTCTCAAAACTGTATAACCTTGAGTCCTGGATTTGCCATGACAACAATTTCCGGAGCATCGTCGCGCATGCAGCAGATGAACTCGCCGCCGATAATCAAAGGTTCATTGAGAAGTGGACGCAAGTTCGAAATCGTCATTCCATCAGAGGACATGTCCAGTCGGAAAACGTGGAGCTGAATCGGAACATTATTTTTCTAGATATTTCAAATTTTTCGGAACGTACTGTATCATAGTCAAAATTTAGGCAGTTCGATCAATTTTCCGTTTCGCTGTTCTAGCCTTTTCGGCATAAAAATCTGGTTTCGAGTTACAAGTGGTCTAATGATGAACGTCACTATTCATTTTTTTTTATTGGCTAATGGTTGTCGTGAGAAATTCCCACGTCTCAAAATGATTTCCTTGCAGATTTTTCTGCAATATTGTTCACTTTCCTAGTTCTTCGACGCCTAGAAAAAAGCTGAAGTTTGCAAGTGTCCATTAAAGGAAGCTTCGAATAGAAGATGCCCTGATACGTTGGAAGAATCAATCTGGAAAACTACCTTCAAATCTTGATTCATCATTTCAGCGGTCACAAGCAAAAGAGCCGATCCTCCTTGAGGTGACGGACACTTGAGAGAAAACAGGAACTTGAGTTCGCCTTAAATTCCATTTGTTCATTAGCCTTTCTTCATTCAATTTATCCCACCTGGCACGTAGAGTGGGATTTCCGAGGTGAAACAACGAATATTGGTGTCAAAAGTAACCAGACACTTGCCACCTTTGCGACTTCCCCTGTAAATTCAATTTTTCGTAGGAACGGCAATATGAAACTAACGAAGTTCCGCTTCTCTCATCCAATTCTGGATCGTAGAGGAAATACAGCCGGTTCATGTCGACCGACTCTTGGACGTCCTAAAACGAAATAAGGATTACATAGCTCCGGAATCGGCTAGATTGGACTATCAAGCTTGAAAGCATAAATGAGCTTCACACTTTAATATTAAAAAAAAAGTTTTTTGGCCCAAAATGCATATAGAAAACTGTGAGATTAAGAGTTTTTCAATATTTTTCTCTGTTTCGGTTTTTTTTTTCTAAATTGAGTTCAGACTTAGTGATAATGAAAATCAAAACTCAGTGGACCTGAAAAACAGCCATCCGCCAGCGTCCATATTGGGAATCGAGCTGATGAGGCGTTTGGCCCCAGGCCATGGTGATGTCTTCATTTCTCACTTGCATTGCTGGAAAAATATTCAAAATAAATACCGAGAATATAAAAAAGAAGAGCGATAAACTTCGCGAAACCGATAAAACTGGATGGAAATGCAGAGAAAAAGATACTGTCCCGACAAAAAGTCGAAGAACGGCGGGTCGATTTGGAGAAATGACGTCAGGAGACTAGAGGACTATTGGTTTTGAATTCGCTTCCTTGTACACAAAATAAATGGGTCAACAAGAAAAATCGATGAGAAAAACGCCGTCATTCTGTTTTTCTCCATTTAAAGGTCTTTTTCTTGCTGGGAAAATGAGCTTTATGACTAAGAAATCTTATCTTTTGAAAAAAGTCTAGAATAAAAAAAAACCTGTGATGAAACCAAGAAATCTACTATTTCAGAACAGATAATTCATGGTTTCAAAACATGTTTTTTTGGGAATGACTATGTACTTTGTTCGAGAAACCTTGCAAAGACGTTCAAATATGAATCCCTAATTTGAAATGACACTTTGAACTTCTTTTTTGTGTCAAGATCTCGGGGTGTTTAGTATCAAGATTTAGTTAAAATTATAGTAACTCGTAGATGATGTTCAGTGAGATAGATAGACATAATGAACTGTTTTGAATTGATAAATGAAATGTCGTTTTTGAATAACTATTAGTAAACCCAAGCTAAAAGAAGAAAGGAAGAAAAGGACACCAAAAGGCTAGGAGCCCGAGTAAACAGAAAAACAACCGCGATCGCCACGTTGCAGAACAACAATGACGAAATGAGGGCCTGACTCATGCACGTAAACAACTTTGGCGCGCAAGGAATACTTTAGTTTTTGATCTTCCTACTGGTAATGAGAACAGAAACTGGCAAGAACGAAAAAGTGAATAAATTAGTTTTCTTGGGCAGGTGTTTTTTGTTTCTGATTCATAAGGATACCATGGCAAACAACTGAAATGTAGGAAATTTTTTATCATTTTGATGCGCAGAATTTATGAAAATGTGTAGAACTTTCAAATAAAAAAAAGTTGTCGATCACGTTAGAAATAGCAGATTTCAATATTTTGTGATAAAATCCCTCTATCACAACATCTAATCAAAACAACTAGACCAAAAACGAAATCGAAAAAATACAGAAGCAATGAGAACCAAGTAATAGCCAATCCTTCTTGATTGGAAAGGTGAAATGGGTTGATTTGATGGGAGATGAGATGCGTGTGCGACGCGGTTTTGGCGCGAAAATTAATTCGAAATCGAACACGAGCCACCATTTTTCTTTTTTTGGCCAGTTTTTCTATAACTCACAATTTTCTAAAATTTTGAAAAGATTCCGTTGAACGGATAAAAAAAGACCGAAATGTCTCTAAAAAGTTCCGTTTTGTCCTAACACCAAAGTTTATCCAAAAACAAAAAAAATTAAATAAATAACGTGATGAAAAACACGTTCAGTATGAAAGAAAATCAGCATATTATTAATCACTTTATTTATGTCACAGTTGATTATGTTGGAAGTACCCGATTGAATAAAATTGTTCCACGGTAAGCGATTAAAACGAGAAGCGAAGCATCAGACACTGAGAAGGGCGACGATAGCAACGAAAAAAAAAAACTAAAAGGCAGAGGCAAAGGCGGAATCGGTCTCTCGGGCGCACGACGGAAACGTTCAAAGTGGTAAATAATAACAAAGGCGATTTTTGGTTTTCACTCCGAATGTAAACAGATAAGGGCACTATTTGGGTAAAAGGAATATATATTAGAACATATTAGTTTTGGGAAAGTGAGTTTGATAAATAAATCTGATAATCAATAATACATTAAAATAAGAAGAACAAGTGAAGATGATATTTTGACACGTGAAAAGTGAAACCGAGCACTAACCTTATCAAAGAGAAATGTAGCAGAAATCAATGTATCATATTAATAAAGCTTTATAAGTGAACCGTTTCAATCATAACTAATATTTTGCAATTCTTCAAATTTCAGCAGCATCGTCAAGGTCAGAAATTGGTCGAAGGGCAAAAATCGCGGTCTTGACGGCCTTCGCACACTCGCCCGCCTTCGGAATAATAAATCTGGAGTTAAAATTGTTTTCTTCGTTGGCAGATCAATACAAACCTGTGAACAGCTGAAATGTTTGGTTCGCCATTATGCTCATATCCAAATTTGAATGTGAGAAGTTCTGGTAAAGTTTTGCGGCTGGTGACGGACATGACAGTAGAAAGCGCGTGGCGAGCTTCCGTTGTGACGTATCCTTTCTGAAAAAGAGGGGTAAGAGGATCTTCAGGTGGGTTGTCACACCTTTCCAGGAACATCGTGAAGTACGTGAATGTGGGTTCGAGTCAGAGCCAAATGAGCCCCGACAGTTTCTTCACGGAAAACTTCCTGGCATTCGAATGTCTCCGTAAACTCAGCGGAGAGAAGAATCTGAGAATTCAAAAAAGATCAGCGGTTAGGTGGGGAAAGACGCACTTCTTGCTTTGGTTTTTCGTCCTTGACGTTGCTGAACTCAGAATCTCCATCTGAACCATCATCGAGAGTGAATACTGACTGTTGCCGATATCTGAAAGTCGAAGGAACGATATTTTTTTAGGTTATGTAAAAGGCAAAACTTTACCTGTGCTTCAGTTCTGTTTGAAAACTATATTTAAAATTGTTCTTATTTCAAAAATTTCAACAAATCACTTATAATTTAGTTTTTGATGAAGCTGAAACCTATATGGTTTTTTTATTCTAATCCTCAAAAACTTATCAGATCCGCGATGCTTATTGCTATTTTATGAGGCTTGATGACGTTTGAAAGTTAGGATAAACTCAAAATAAACATATACAAAAATCTTATAATCATTTTTTTCCTCTTTTGCAAAGTTTGGTTTTGCCGTTTTAAATCGTCTGTTGTCTTTCTAAACATGAAAAACCTTTTCCCATGACGTTCTCTGGGGTCAGCATGACGGATGTTGTCTGCAGATTGCGACTCTTTAATCGACATAATAGGGGCAACGACTTCTTCGACTTTTTCTTTCATTTTGCTGGACGTCGATGCAACCACGTTCTTGACTCTCGACATGAAATTCTAGAAAATTGTTAACCTTAAAAAAAAAAAGAAGTGAAATGATACCCATCCAACTGCCGGCTGTTTTCCATGCGTACAATAATCACATTGGTCAGGGAAATGCATTGATAGCACATCCCATCGTTTTTGTTCAGAAGCACAGTCGTGAAGTTCTGAAAATGAAAAAAAAAAGTTATTTTTACATCTCGTGGATTAATACCGGTGTACCACACGGAAAAAAAAATTAATAGCTTCCTTAAGTATAGAATTGCGTCTTCGAAAAAATTCAGAAAAGCGAAGTTCTGGATTATTCGCAAAAAATTCTGTCAAGCACAGTTTTGAAAATAGAAATTGAGCTTTCTAATTTTGTAAATAAAACAAAAAACTCACTTTTGTATCCGCCTTGAACAAAAGCCACATGAGGCCGACTTTTACGAATGAACTGTGAAATAACCATGTGCATGTACTGATCCTGAAGCGAATTTGGGTAAATCAAAAAATTCGGGTAGGATATCAACTTCATTGTCGTCTCCATATCCCATAAAAAGAATGTGGTCATCCGCCCTCCGGTTAATCTTGTAGTTGTCCAAGCTGTTCAAAGCAATTTCAAACTTTTCCGGTTCATCGACAAACTGAAAAATAACTTAGTAAGGGAAGAATAGATCTAAGAAACATACTGAAGAACAGTCAAGATTGAAAGAAGATGGGAAATGACCATGGTCAAACGCCTTATTCGACCGAGCATCAATCACGAAGAAGTTGACTTTTGTTGTTGTTGACAGCTGAAGTTATATATTTTCGGGAAATTGTAAAAATTTGTTTTAAAAAGATGTTTTTCAGCGTGAGGAAGAGCCTTGATTTCGCAAAATTTGCCGCGATTTTTAAGGCACTCTTTTTTTATCTTATGTCGACAAGAAAATTAATTTTTTTAAATCATCGCGATGTTTGAGCTGCATAGCGCAATTTCAAGCAAAAAATCGAGAGCCAGGAAAAAAAATTACCAAAAACTCCGTGGCAGTAAGATCTACGGCAGGGACAGGCAAACAGAGCATCTTGCTGACCTTAAACAAAATATCTATTAAAAACGCAACTAAAAATAAACCTGTATTTGACCGGCTTCTTCGTCAAAATTAGCGCCAAAAAGAAGGTAATGGAACTCCTGTAGAATCAAAGATTTGTATTGAAAAAATTGATTGAATTATTACCTTGCGTATACATTCAGGAGTGCGTTCTGAATAGTGAACGGCTAGTTGTACAAAGTCTGAAACATCTTCTGCGTTGAGCTCAGCGCTCAAGTTGGACAAAAACTCCAGAGCTGCTTCGCTGAAATCATCAATTCATTTTGAACTACTCATGGAAACATACCGATTATTATTCTTGATTTCCAGCAGTTTCTCACGCGCATTTATGATGAAAACCAGAGACAAATGGAAGATCAAAAATGGGTCACCCTAAAATGGAAAAATGATAATTTTAAAAAGTTTCAGAAATACCTTGTCGATGTAAATATCCCAGAGCTCATAACAAGCGTTTGTATTCATATGTGAACCAAGAAGAGTGCCAAACCAGTCATTTGCATAATCATACGTGGCGACTTTCAACGAATCAAGGTGATTGCTGAACTTTTGATCAATTAAAATATGAAAAAAAAAAAAACACCTGAGTTCAGGATCGTGATATTGAAGGATCAGACGGAACAAATCGTAGATCTGGGATCCTTTCTTAATGTCTCGTGGGATGTACTTGGTAGTCAACGCGAAGAAAACGTTGAACTCTTGTGAAACAGGCAATCCAAATTGGAAAATCTTTTCCAAAATCTGAAAATTGGTACTTTTTCCTTTCACGTAACTGAACTCTAATGACTCACCCCAACCCATCCGCTATCTTTTGTGTAGTCCAAATTGCGTCTTTTGCAGTACAATGTCAGAAATGATTCCAACTCGGGCACCGAACGCTTATTTTCAAGTGCCTTGGCCAATTTCCGGCAATCTTTGAAAAAAAATTGTTGAGTGGATTTAGATAAGAATTACCATTACGAAGAACACATTGGCTGTTTAAATTGTACAACTGGTCCCAGTCATCCAACGGATTTGGTTTTGTGGCGGTGCCGAGAAGCTTCTGAAAATCGGAATTTAACAAAAAAGAGGAGAGTAATACAAACCGGCCAACGCAGAGGATCAGTTGTTCCGTCGTCCGTGATTTTCAAAGTGCTGACTCCGGAATCGAAAGTGGATGAAACATTCATGTCAACATCCCTGAAAGTGAAATTGCAGATTTTTTGAGAAAATGTAAATTACCATGTCTCGTCCAACGTACTAGCACTTGCATGCTCACTTTCAGCCATTTTTAGAACTTCTGAAAAAAAGTTCATTTTGGAAAATACTGCAGTGAATAGTTAAAAAACGCAGAAGTAGTTTGAAAATTTTCGAAAAAAAAGTTGGACGGCAAAAGCGTGAAAATATAACAACGTTGAATCGAAAGCGAATATGAATCATATGTTCCATCAATATGACTATTATACCAAAAGAGAGTAACTGACATCGACGTTTCTATTCGAATCACAAAACCCAACTAAAAAAACGAAGAAGTTTTATTTTAGAAAGCAAGGAATTTTTCAACAAAACACAACAAAAATTGAGAAAAGAAAAAGAGAAAAGTAACATTGAGCGCTGCTAGAATAATAAAGAACCAAAGAGAACGATATGCGAAAAGACAACAGAGCGAACACAGGGGAATTGCGCTCCATCGCACATTATGCCTAACGGGTTTTTGTCCGAGAAAGGTCTCGCAATACTTTCCTTTCTATAACTTGTTAAACTGACAGGGAAACTCAAATTGAATTTTCTGTGATATTCAATTTTTCAAAATGCGACTCTATACATTTTTTTTTTTTTATTCCGAATCGTCAGTTTGATATCTTAAAAAAACCGATAAAATAAGAAAAAAATGCTGTGAAAAAAATTATGAACTTTCAGAAAAATGAATATATCTGTCTTTTTTTTCCAAATCAGTAAATGAAGGCGGCGTAAAAAAATATCAACAAAGCCTTAAAAAAACCAACTTTTGATGATATATGAACTTCAGGTTTTCAAACGGTTATCACTTAAATAAAATTGAAAAATCAACGAAAAAAAGGAAAACAATTTCAGACAATCTCAATGAAAACTACCAATTGTGCTGTAAAAAGAAAAAAGGATCTGGAGCAGGAAAAAAAAAACCAACAACCGACGATCTCAAAAAGGATGCTGAAGGGACCACAGAGCGGAGTTTTTGGCGCCTTTTTTCTTTGATCTTTTTGGAACATTTGCTCGACCTCTACAATTTTTTTCTACGATTTTATCTCGTGACATTTATTTAGAAAAAAAGAGTTCCAACACTATTTATTAATTAAAAAGAATCTTTTTGAAAAACAGACATTCATTAGAATTTAACAACTGGATGATTTTTCCTTGATATGTGATTTTCATGTAGTTTGAATTTTAGCTATCACTGCAAAATTTTCAAACTTGAATAAAATTTTCAATTTTCATATTTACCTTGCTTTGATATAATCCGGAGCAAACGGTATTTAAATTTGCGTCTGCGGTTTAAAAATTACGATCATGAATGATGTTCAAAACTATTCAGTGTATATACTCTTATGCTGGTACGTTTCATTTTTCGAAAATGAAGGGAGTGTTGTGTTTTGTCATCCAATACTTTGAAAGGAATACACTCTCCGTATTCTTTCACATTAATAAAAATCCAATTGGAAAACTTCATTGACAATAAAAACAACAGAGATCAAAATGAGAATCAAACAGAAAAAGAAACGAAAAAAGTTTAAAGAAAAGCCTATCCGGCGAAAGCGGACCCGTTCAGTCCCCAGAAGATACTCATCGCAAGGGCGATGACAGCCACTCCGCCAGTCAGACCGACCAAAACGTAAGATTTCCTATGGTTGAAGATTTGGATCTCCTGTTCGCCAGTAAAATATAAAAGCTGCAACTCTGTGAGCGAGTCTTTTATGGGTTGCCAGAAAATGTCTTGCAGAGCTGGACAATCTCCTTCTTCTTCCGGGAAAAGAACTTGGATCCATTCACGAACCTAAAATGGACATTTGGTAGATGAAAGATGAATGGATCAACCGCTCCAGGATTGACGTCTCCGCTGAGTTCGGAGTAGTTATCTTCGTAAAGAAGGACTAAAACTTGACATCCTGACGGGTCAAGGTATGCAAGGCGCTTGAAAAGAATTATGTTCATCAGGGGCGGTAAAGGTAACACCAGATGTACTGGGAAGATACCGTACTCTGTTGCGACTCTGCAAAAACAAGAATCATTAGGTATTTTTTCCTTTTTTCATCTGAATTAAACTCTGATTAAAGATTTTTCGTTTTTGATTGTTTGAATATTCTGCTGATTTTGTCAGTCAGAAAAATAAGGAAGGCTTTTGAAAATTTCTATACTCCTCACAAGGGAGGTCATTCTTTTGCGGTTGGTTTTTTCTGATAATCAGCCAGAACGCTCCATGATGTACCAGAAAAAAAAAAAACTCTAAAAATCTCAACCTGCAAAACTCTTTCAGTTTTGGGAAAAGACGCCTCAAAGAAAATACTTGAAATTCATTAAAATTGTGCAGGTTGAGGCCTTCAGGATCTCCATCTGGTACATCAAGAATGGATCTGACCATTTTTCAAGAAATTCCCAACCGCAACCAGCTCCATTTCAGAGGTTGCAAGCTTCATGGAAGCGTGAAAAATCAAAAAAACCTTGCGATATTTGACCAGTAGTCCATCGGGCATTGTTCGCTACTGGCTATGATCAAATATTTGTTGGAACAATTGGTAGTTCCAGACATGATGGCATCAAGTTCCAAATGATTGGTCGGCTCAATCCTTCTCATTTGATCTATCTCATCCAGCCAGCTCATGACACTGGCCTGAAAATATCTGATTATTCCGACACTGATAGACCTGAAAACCTTATTGGAAGGGTCCCCGTTGTAAGGAAACGATTTCTGAGCGATGAAATAAATCAAGTTCGGCATGTGCGTTAATATAGTCTCATTGAAAAACGGCAAAGGCTGTAAATTATATCTTGCTTGTTAGTTATAATTTGTTTTCTCCAAAACTTGTTCCTTTTTCTTTATTATTCACTTCTTGCCAAAATAACCCCTGCTCAATGTTTGATAAAGCGCAGCCTAATTTTATCAGACCACAGCTTTGGATGATTTTTGCTCGCTGAAACTCTGACCTGCCGAAACGTGTGATAGTAATACGTTATAGCTTCGATGCCTTCGTATTTTCTGGCGTGGTTGAACTCCTTCACCCAAACTGGCACCTCAAGAGCCTTCTGTAGGGTACAGAAAAAGGATGGAAAAACCTCTGAACGGTGTTTCGCACAAGTTTTCGTGCATAACAAAAGCACCATCCGGCCTAATTCTGTTCTTTGCTCCACAATTGCGCTCGTTCTCGACCGCGGGGTTTCATCTGAATTTTATTTTTGGCTTGTTCGACGGCTTAAAAAAAAGAAAATCCGGTGCTCTATGGTTTTATTGAAAAAAATAATCCGGTCTTGCAAACAACTTTTTGCTAATTCAAGTGAATTACTAGCGGGGGACAGCTGTAAATGTTGTTTTCGCAAAAAATAATGTGTGGAGAATTATCTTTAGATCACGCGTTTCCAAAATCAAAAAACAGCAACATTAAAATTCTTCCAACGCCGAGTTTTTTTTTATTTAATTAGGTTACACCCATCTGAGAACTTCTGAAATGGGCTGCGCTTTTTGATCCTTTAGATTGGGTTCTAGTTTCTGGTTTTGCAGGTGTTGGAAATTTTTGTTTTATTGGTCCCCGCGAGTAGACGGCGACACTGAGTAAAACTTCCCAACTTTGTTTCACAACATATGACATTCACTGAAACAGGAACTTTTCTTTCATGAAGAATAAATGTTTTTCCAGGCTAAATGACCTATAGTCCTTCATTTTGGAGAGATCAAAGTTTGAGTGATACGCAAACATTTATTATCACATTGATGATGGGAAAAAAGGCTTCAACAGAATTTTTTTATGCATTATCGCACGGTTCGGGGTAACATAAAAATGTGAGAAAAGTACACAAAGAGAACGTTTTCAGAACCCTGTCGATTTTTCGAATGCAAATAATCGCGTGCCTTCAGAGCGAAATAAAATCAGAAAAGGTCCCTTACCTTCCGAACCAATAAAATTAGCCAAGGAAAAGAAGTGGCTTTCCGGCAGACACGTCGTGAAAGACACCAAAGTAACCGCAATAGGAAGAAGTACTAGCATTTCGACTCTCGGAGCTAGTCCAGCTCCAGTCAGATGCTTCGCGTTACACAACCGGGTGCACAAAAATCGCGTATCTTGTGTTTTTCGCTCTTTCTTTCGTTTCCTCGACTTTACGTCCAACATCAGGCACGTCACCCTCATTTTTCAAACATGAGGCTGTCATTGATCTTTCTTTCAAAGAGTACTTTTCGATCATAAGTTCAAAAATATAGGAGAATTTTCGCGATTTCACAGTAACGATGAAATGCAATTCAAACTAAAAACAACACGAAAAATTTGAGATGTTTTCTGATCACCTAATCATTGCCTTTCTGAACGCTTGTCATGCTTTGACGTTGCTACAAACGTACTTTGCTTTGTTGGTTCCATGTTTTTGATAAAGCGGAATGACTTTTCAGCGGTTTATCATTCGAAAGAAAGAAGTTTCCGCACAAATATGACGGCTTTCTTTGTATAGAAATAGTTCCACCGCGAGGTAAACAAATAAACAACACGAAAGGAAGAAAAAACAACGGAAAAAAGTTTATGATGATGGAGAGACAGAGCTTGGAGCGCTAAATCGATAGAATTTATCTTTAGCCGCAGCACACCATTCAGTCATAGTACCAGTAGATCAGGAAGAACAGGGCGGGCGAGAAGGAAATGAAAACAGATCAGGTTAAATATTAGCAGAGGCCAAGATCCCATGAATATCATGGATGAAACCTTAATACATCTTGAGGTGATTTCGGACTAAATATTGTTGATCCAAAACTATATTTGACTGACGTCAAAAAATAAAGACGACACTGAAAAATAACAAACTCAACAATATTTCTAATTATCCCTGAAAAGTACAAGATGTAGAAGAAAAAGCCTACTATAATCCATCAAACTTGCGAAACTAAAAAAACTGTTGCACGGGCGGTCAAAAGTGGCAAGGTAAGCAATGGCGAAGACTGAAGTTCTCATCAGCCAAGTCTTTCAAAAGCACTCAAAACTTGCTTCAGATTTGATTAAGACCAAAAAAATTTAAGAACTGAGTTTCAAGCTTCTCGTCAAAATGTAAAAATTTTTCCGCCGGCGAACCGTTTGTATTAACTAAATGGCACGACAACAAAGATAAAAAGAACTAAAACGTCAGGAACACCTAGCCGAGAAATAAAGATTGCATTTGGGAAATCACTCTATCACAATTATGTTCATATGTACATGAAATGAAGCACACGGGATTGTGACGGACAATAAATAAACGAGAAACTAGCCAATGACTACTACTTAGATCCCTTTCTCAAGTTGAAGTTCTAGGAGACAGGAAGAAATAATCCATTTGAAACCGAATGATGAAGAAGACACATTGCCAAAGACGGACCGTCATGAGTTTGTTTTCCAACAGTAAAAAATAGGAAGACAGCGGGAAGTAAATAACTTTTACTTGTAAAATGCAGTTATAGAAACGTGAGATCGATATCCAGAGTATGATAAATTTCTAACCGGTTAGCGGATCATCGCTGAAACGAGCATTGTGAAACTTCTGCTTTTCTCTTAACGACTAACGTTTCATGCAGAGTTCTTTGACGAACGGATCTACTTCCCAGTTTTTGAAAAGTTCCATCACTTGCATATTTTCTTCATTTTGCGCCAAGATATTCTGGAAAAAAAGGAATTTGAAGCGAGGTTGGCAGGGGAAATCATACCTGGATACTGGCGGTCATCATTAATAAACTGCCATATTTCTGTACTCCTGCTGCCATTCCTAATTTGGAAGTTATGCATGTGAAAAGAGCACACAGGTATTTATTCCTTTCTTCGTAAACTTCAGGTTTCGCTTGTGCAGAAAGGTCCAAGGCATCTGGAATTTGAGAGTTCTTAATAATACTAATAATAATATTTTATTCACTGCCATTAACTTAGTTGTAATAGATCCTCTTTTCGTTCATTATTTTTTTAAAAAGAGATTAAAAAAACAGTAATATTGTTCTTGAGACAACTGAAAAACTGAAAGAATTATCATAAACTTTTTTTATGATTTTTCAATACTGAGGTTTTTTGCAATCTAGACTGAGTAATTTTTTTGATCAGACTTTGCGAATTCGATAATTTTGAAGCGTTCATGACAGCCGCCAAAACAAGAAATTGTTGTACGGATTTTGAGAACGCTATGAACAAAGTATAGCTGCTCTTTAGACTCACTAATCAGTGAAAGTACATTTTTTTCTTTTTCTTACTCTCACGCCTGATTTGAAAGTTCAAAAGAAAATATGCATTGAGAGTCCTTTTCGGGCATTAATCGTTCTGAGAAAAACTGAACTATTCTGAAAATTGAAAGCTTTGCCAGCTGCTCTGTTTGCGTCCAGGATAAAAATAAAAGCTGAAATGAGAAATTTTCCTACTCGATATTTTACTCTCAAAAATACCACCAAATTGTACCTGGGTTGAAGAATAAAGCTGCCTTGAAAGTTGCGAACTCAGCAATACTCAGTTGTAACCTCCTGAAGGGAATCATGATCTCGTCCATTTGTCGTGTATAAATTGGACGACAGCCAGAAAGTTGGACCTGAAAAGTTGATTTATTATAAGGGAAAGTTCCAAAAGGTAAGAACCAACCTGTTGCTGGGGTTGCCTCATAATGAACGCTCCATTTTGGAACACAATCTTGTCAGGTCCATGGTCAGGCGAGTAAAACACGCGGTTCAACAAATTGAAAGCAAATGCAAAATTTCGAACCAATGCAAACTGAAAAAAATGTCTCATTCAAACTTTGAAGGGAATTCGATTTTAGACCCACCTGATCAAAAAGGGATATTCGCTGGTAAATTTCAAAAGTTTTTCCCCATTCTATACAGATTCTCATTTCTCGAATATTCCACATCCTGATGTCGTTCATGGAGGCTGGATAAAGTTCTTTGAATTGGGTGTTGCCCTGAAAAATTGAAAAAAATTGACTTATATTTTTTTAAAAAATAAATTTAAAGTTTTAGTTCCGTTTCGAGTCGAGAAAAAGAAAAAAATGAAATTTTACAGGCTTTCGAAAAAATGAAAAATTATCTATTGACTAAACTTAGAGTTTTCAAGCTTTGAAAAACTTAGTAGTTTTTATCGATCGTGTCTCAATTCTTTTTTCAACTAAATCTGAAAAATCGAATTTTTTTAAATTTTATTTCAACTTCCCATCATTATGAAAAAAATCATTTCATTTTGCAGAAATAAAAAATAATATTTTTCCTACAATATATCGAGTCATTTTTTGCTCACATCGAGGTCGAGGTCGGTCGTTTCATAGAGCATACAATTTGAAGTGAGGGCCTGCGTGACTCCCGTAACATCCGGAATAATGCGCCTCCTCAACTCAGCACAAAGGTTCTCGATTTGAGTCAACTGATCGACGATTTCCTGAAACGTGCAAAAGTTTTTTCCTTCTTTTTGCACTAATTAGGAGCTCCCGGCATTGCCTTTCTCTGTTTCTTCTCAGCAGACCTTTTCCGTTGTTCTTTGATTTTCTGCTAGTCGAACACAATCTTCGATCAACTTGTTTGTACCTTCTTCAAAAAAATAGCTACTCTTTGGACTGCAAGTAAGGGCAAGAATCCAACGACAAGATCAATAAGCAAGAGGGTGAGAGAACGTCAAGTGAAAGCAGAAAAAAAAAGGAAAATTTAATGAGATTTTCGCACCCAATCGCCTTTTTTTGCAACATGAAACCTTGCGAGCTAATATATAATTCTATGAATCAAACAGCAAGACTATAGAAGAGTATTGGAACACTGAAAACAAGCAAAAAGAATGTTCTGGAGGTCAAGAATCACCTGATCTTGTAACCTGTGCGGCGTGACTGCTTGTTCGTCGTCGGATCCACTGCTCATTTTGGCTTTTTTCGTAGGACCTATGCGGTCCCTGTCGTTTTGAATCGCTGAAATTGCTACTTTCAAATTTCGTATTGTCGTACTTCCAAAAAAAAATAATTTTTCTCAAAAATATGATGAATAAGTTACAGAAAGAAAGCTACCTTTTGCATCCATGCCCACGATCAAACATTTGTTGAAACGGCAATGTCGGCAAGCACATCGAATGTCTTAAATGAGAATAAAATTACTTTTCAAAGATTTTTAATAACTTACTCTTGTTAACGTCGCAATTTCCGTTGTATTGACAGATGAAAGTTTGTTCGCTGACAATCGTTCGCCGGAAGAATGTCTTACTGGAAATTCCCAGAGTTATTTTCCAATTTCGTGCTTTGTTCGTTGACTTTCGAAAAAGGAAAAACAAGGAAAGGCTTCAATTTTGACCTATTAATATCTATGATGACGGGTTTTGAGCGTGAATAACACCTAATAATAGGCTAGTGCACTCAGTAATCAACGGAAATCCATTGGCTGGGGGACACCTGGTCTTTGATTACTTTTATTTTGACTCACCATCCATTACAGCTTGCTACTCCGTAGTGATAACCAGTGGCCAGGTCGGAGCAAACTGCGCACAGCTCTCCCTCGGGAACTTTCCGTCCTGAAAGAACCGATTTGAATATTCTGAATAAAGTTCCTTTTTTCTGGGAATGTTCCGCATTGTTGAAAAGTTAACCATTTGATGTAAAAACTGGTTTTTCTGACACGAAAGGACTATAAAACGTTTCGAGACAGTCACTATTATCTATACACTTTGGAAAACAACAAGTGTTCCAGAAATATATCAGTTTCCCAACAGTTTGCGAAACACAAACAAAATAATCCTCAAAAATATAAAGAAATTTGCTAAGCTAGATAAAACGCCTGACATTTTCAATCTGCAGCACTTTGCATCTATCAAGAACATCAGTTTCAAAAACTTGTCCGTATTTCTTTATTCAGAAAATAAGTTTTTTTCAAAAGTTTTATTTTTTTGCATTCATATTAATAATGCAAAAAGTTTTAATACTTTAAAAAAACTAATCTTTTAAGGAAAAATCCAATTCAAAAATCTGATCTTGAATGACAATAATGAGTTTTAAAAAACTACAAAAAAATCTTAGGATATCCGAAATATTGGCATAAAAAAACTTCATTATGTTTTTTTTGAACTGAAATGAGAAAAAAATGGCATGTTTGATTTACTATGCGGACACTTTTTTTTAGTTTGCTCAGCTGGCTGTCGAAAAAAGAGCAACTCACTCTGGGCCATCCTTTTGTAGGAGGGCGGGAACTTGCTGTCCATGGAGCCGTTGTGCGAGGAAACGCTGGCCCCGTTCATGTAATGGCCTTCGTCTCGGACACCTCCTCCGTTTCTGATAGGATTGTACGTCGACAATGAATTCTGGAGCTGGTCGGCCAGCGTGCCGTTCATACTGTGAAACATGTTCATTTCAGAAAAGTCAGTTTTTCTTTTTCAGTTACTCGAATACAAGTTAGAGCGTCAAAGATCGACAGGAAGTGATTAAGGTCGAAATACAAGGTGTGTGCCTCGATATGGGCGGGGGCACGTGCACAGAGGCGAATGTGAATTTTGGTTTATCAAGGATGGGCGTGGTCTTCGGCTTGAGCCTGAGAACGAGAGAGCGCAAGTGCGGCAACACGAAAAAAAAAAAACGAGCGGGAGGCAACTTGGCGACAGCAGTGCCGAGAGAAGAGAGTTGAGCTCTTCTCTCCAAACAGGGAAACGTTGGAAGAGAGAGAGAGTTCAGCGAAAAACGCTGAAAAACGCCGGCAGCGCACAGGCCGGCAGCATAAAAACAACGTCACAACGGTTGGTTCTCACATCAAAGATCTGTTTCCAGAGGGACCTAGGAAGTCAATTGATTTGCAGGACGTACAAATTGGGCTCTTGTTTCTTGTTCTCTGTTGACAACTGACTCTTGATATTCAGCCTTTTTTTTGACGGCCGAATAGGGCGAAAACAAAATAAAGTAGCAATATCCGACTTCTCTCTATTCTAGATCTTTTTGATAGGCCCTTTTCGTTCGAATCTGGAGATTTTGGAAGATTATAACTTTTTTCTAGGTCTCAGATGAAACTTGCAATAGCACTTCAAATTTTTCATCATCTACCGGGAAATTCCCGAAAAAGTAGGGGTTTTCTATTAATAATTTTTTTGTTGCAGTTATTTATTTGCAAAGGGTTTGACGCAACAGGTAACCTTTATACTTCCCGAATTCAACCTTTTTTGAACTATGAGAGATTAGAGACAAAAGAGCATTGAGGACGTTGCTTAACATAGAGACATTAGTAACATGACGATCTTTTCTTTTCATCATTTTTGGTAACAATGAGAAATGAACTTCTTAAAAATTTCTCCGATCAAAGTCATCGGAAACACTTTTTGAAAAAAAAAAAACTAAAATTTGCATTTTAATCCACTCTCTCAAAAAAAAAAAAACTCCGTAAATAGATTAAAAAAACGGATTTTTGATCATGCACTCAGTTAATATGGATAATGCCTTCGAGATTTTTAATCAGAATTATTTTGCAAAGAAAAAAATTATTAGATTTCAAGCCAAAAGAAAAAGCAGGCGCTAATCTCCGCTTTGCAGCGCATGAAGAAAAAAACTCCATTAGCAATAATTGTTTCTTATCATTCAATCAGATGAATAATCTGGAACTATTTTTTTCAGGTTTATTTATCTCACAGAAAAAAAGTTTTGACTCACGACTTTTTTTCAACAAAAAAACAAAAACCTTTTTTTAACGTGTTTAAGTATGGAAAAAAACCTGGGAAAACTAGGAAACGTAATATTTTTTGTTTAAGTAAATTTACATATGCTTTCGAACTTTTTCAAAATTTGTTATTTTCTGAAAGTGTAGGAAAGAATGAGAAATTGAGAATGAAAAGGAAGGTTCACTATCTCTTAGTTCCGAATCTGTCATAACCTTTTGTGTCACTTTGCCTACACTTTTGGAACTGATCTCTGAGCCGCCAATGTCCTAAAAACCGAAAAAATTGCGGGGATGAAAAAATGACATTTAACCCGGTTTTTTCGCTTGTTTTTAAAAAAGGAAAGGAATAATATGAGGAAGTAAAAAAAAGCAAGACAACATTTGTAAAAAATACGAAAATAAACTTCAAGGTAAGGAAAAAACGAGTTGAGGCTGTAATTAACGTCATTAAAGAAGCGAAACAACCAAAAAACGCGCATATGGACTCTCTGCCAGACGTGTTTGTTTAGGAGCAGAATATCGAGACTAATGAAAAAGAAAAATGACGATAGAATTGGCAATTCAAAACACAAAAACCATGGAAGATAATGCGACATCCTGATGAACAAATATGAACGAATGCACAAAAAAGGAAGAAAAATGATTTGGGGAGTGAAACGAACGGTTTTGATTACAAAACCAGAAAGGAAAAATCAGATGATCAAAATTTTGAATGTGTCGAGTTGGTTTGACAATAAATTTCGAGAGCCTCCTTAAAATGATTCTACGCAGGTGAGGCTAAATGAAGTACTTAGAAGGATAGATTTTAGTTTTGAAAAAAAATTTCTGAGCTCTTGGCTATTGTACCATGAAAGGCTTTGCTTTGTGTGATCCCATTTTCAAATATAAAATTTTTAAAATTTTCCGTGTTTTTTCAGAATCCTTACAAATTAGATACTTCTTGCTTTTCCATCACAAGAATTTCGGCAGAAAAAACGAGTTTTTTGATTATTTGAAGCTCCTAATAGGGGTTTTCAGATTGAAAAAAGTAGAAAATTCTGCTTGAAAAAAAGACATGAAGTTTCAGCCTTGGAAAAAGAGTTGAAGAGCTTCGGAAAAATTTCAAAAAAACCTGATGAAATTCTTCTTTTCAAAGAAAAAAATCATGAAACTTTTTTGCTTTTAGGGAATTTGAGTTACTGACTAACCGTTTTTTTACTCGACCTATTTCAAAAGACGAATGATTCGTGAAAAAGGACGCAATAACAAAAGGTGGAAAAACCAAATTCAAAAAAAAAGTGCGAATGAACTCCCTCGAATCGGAAAGAAAGAAGTCCGCAGAACAAGAATGAAAAAGCAAGATAGCAAAACGAAGAGAAGAAAAGATCGAGGAAAAATGGGCCTCCGCGACCAAACGCCGTCCTTACGACTCCGTAGGAAGACAGACAAACGCAAACAATGCGCCGCTGTGCGTTGAGAAGCGTCGAGCGACGCGTTGTACCAACCGCGCTTGGGACAAACCTAAGTATTTGGCCGGAAACGGCATAGTGCCTTTTCCCCGTTCCTTCCTTTTAAAATTCCTCTGACGGTGCAACATTTTTTTGAACGATGATCAGTTCTTTTTTATCATTCTCGTGATCTTTTTTGCATAACTTGCTGTGATTTCCAACCTTCATTGCTTTTTTTTTCCATTTTTATATCCAATATTTTTCGAAGTTTGTTGGGGTTCTTGAAAAAAGTAATGATCGAAAAGCCTTTTTTTTAATAACAGCGAAAATTTTGAAACTTTGCAGATGTAAACTTTTTTTCTGAATTTTTTTTCGGAAATTTTTTTCAAAGTTCAAGGTTGTTATGTTTCAATCGTTCAAGTGTCCCAAATATAACCTTTTTCTGTTTTATTATCTGAGAAAATGTGGGCGACTCTTTCAGCGTGCGATTTCTTTTCAACAGAATCTATTTCAAAAACGATTTCAACAGAGGTGAAACCTTATACGGCTCATGAAGTGTTGAAAGAAGAATTAAGAAGCTTTTTCTGAAAAACTATAAGAATTTTTTTGAAATTTTGAAGTTTCGCTCCCAATCACAGCCAGTTAAAAAAATTGAAATCGAGGTCATGTCGTTTTAATTCTAAATTGTCTCATCAACAATTCAAGTGTCATTTGAAAAACTAGAACAGAGAAAAATTCGTTTGAATAAAGCTATTGTTTTTGAAACATCTGGAAAAAAATTTATCAAAAGATCAATTTTAAAAAAAAGTTTGAAAAAATGCGTCCTCCAGGGCTCTTCGCCTAATGACCTCAAAAAAAAGCTTTCAACTCGCTTTCATAAAACACTTTAGATTTTGAAACGTCGTATACTTTAATGGTTTCGCAAGAAGGAAAAAAAGATAGCAAAGCGTTATTCATCAATAAAGAAACGGCGCAACGAAACACGAGAGAAGACGCCAACATGCAAACAGCTGGTCTGAGGAGCGAAAAACGCGAGCCACGGAAAAAAAGACCATGTACACAATGATCAAAATACATGATATAAAAGACGCTATTTCTACCTCAGACGCTGTTTTTCAGTCGTTTTGTAGCTTACAAAGGCATTCTCGTGAAAGACGTATTTTAGGATGTTATGTGGAATTGTACCAAAAGTTATGGAAAACCAAAAAAAGCGGATTCACCAGAAATTTATTAGTTCTGGGAAGCAAGACTGTTTTTGAAAGCTTATCATTTTTTTCCCAGGTAGAAATCAAACAAACTTCAATAATTAATAAGTTTGATTACGGATCACAAAACAAAGAATTGCTGTAAAAATATATTTCCTTTTGAACATTTTCAGAAATGCTTCCAACGATCTGCAATATGAATTTCCTTTATAAGCGCTTTAAACTCAAACCAAACGTCCCAACGAACTATAGTTTGATGATTGCTAATCTCATCATTTGAATGGGAAACCCTCGCAGCATATTTTCTGGAAAAACGCAACAGAAAACTTTGCACGGAAATGCACTTGATTGCGTTTGGAGGAGAAAGGTTCAACAAAGCGAATGGAACCGAAAACCACTGAAAAATTTAGAGGAAGGGTTAAACACGTGACGCCGGGCGTATTGCCAAGCGTCGCGTGTGGGAGCACAAAAATTGCCAAAGCGGAGATCAGGACTCGATAAACAGAGAGCAGGCGTGTGCCTCGGGCTTGGTTCGTGCTATACAAAGAAGGTGTTACGACTACATGATAAGGTGCGTAAATAGTATCTCCTTGTGATAGTTAATCTGCAAAAACATTTTTATGAGCATCAACTGGTTCGAATTGAGGTGACATTTTTTAAAAACCTTTTTGTGATTCTGAAAGCTCAAGACATCGATTTAGTAACATTTCATCTAGAAACGCTCAAGTTTTGATCTTTCCAAACGAAAATAACGCGTTGAAATCTTTTTTAGCTATCGAGTAATCGACTTCGAAGCTCAGAGGTTCTCTTGAGAACTTTTTGAAACAGTCCAGACCATTTGAAACAAAAAAATGATGAAGATACCAAAATTGTGTGTGGAGGCTGAGTTCACAGAGCCGAAAAAAATCCTCGCGCTATTTTTTTTCCAGTGCTAAAGAGTCTAACTAAGTTACTCCAAAGCGATGCTGTTCGAGAGGTTTTCTACATTTCGAACCCGAGACTACAATGCAGAGCCGTTTGAAGATCTCAAAACTCAAAAAGTAAATTAGAAACTTTTGCCTCAAGTCAAAAGTAATTGACAAACTGACAAACCTCTTCTGAGCCTGATTCTTGGTTAGTTCTCTACAGCAAAGATTTTACGACTACACGATAAGATGCATGAACCAGCCCTTACTATGATAATAGTTCTGCAGCTATTTCTTCTGTGCGATCACTGATATAAATACTTTTTATCACTCATATGAACGCAGTGTCATTTTTCTAGATTTTTGCATCAAAGTTCAGTGGAAAAACAATTGATTAATTCAAAATTTTAAATTTATTCATCATTAACTTGAATTGTCACGACAGCCGTCATGTAAAAAAAATTACAACACTGAGATTTTATCGCTTCTTTTCATTCATAGTTTACAACTAAAAAAGCGAGCTAATTCATTAGACATGGTTCAATTGTGGCCTTTCCTCTATTCATTTCAAAGTAACCTTTTCATCATTTCGTCTTCTATTTTGACATTTCTTCTGCAAAAACGACATTTCATTGCAAGGGCGCATAAATAATCCTCAATACATTGAGAAATTTTCCAAATCAACGGATTTGCCTTTCGTGGGTGTTTTTTATCTCCACCTACTCTCAAATCGAAAACAGAAGCTCAAAAACTTTTTTGACGTTCTTTGATCGAGGGAAGACTTACAAATCTGGCTGAATCCCAAAACTTCAGCTTTGCGAATTTGCGAAAAACGACTATCTATTTTGAAAATTTACAGGAAAAACTCCGAAAATGTTTCAGCTACAGTTATGAAACTTTGATCGATAACATCATATCCAAAGAAACTCATTTTTTCAAAAAGTCGTTCAAATGATCGAAGAATTCTAGACTTTCAAATGAACGAAAATCATGAGAAGGTTACAGATTCAGACGGCCTTATCAATGTCATCTCGACTCCAAGGAATCAGAAAATCAAAGACCAGGAAACATTGTTCAGCAGCACTATTTTAAGAATTGTCAATTTGAAAAAAAGTAGTCGTCTGTGTGCATAATTGGAAAACGGAAAAAAATGTTATTTTGCAGAAACAATAAAGAGATAATTGGAGTCCAATTATGGCTTCTCTAAAGAAAAAGTCGAGGTGAAATCAAGTAGATGTTTGATGCGAATAGCAACACAGAAAACTAAAAGAAAGCCTGCATTAGAGAGAAATAAGAATGGGGTCGTCGAGACTCTCGTGGAAACCCCATTTCAACACAAAACAAATCTCACCTACCAAATCGAGATGCAGGAGCACGAAACCCACTCGCGAGTCCAAAATAACGTCTAAAGTTCGAAAATCGCTGTTCTCTGACGCACAGAACTGCCTAGAGGCAGGAGTGCGGGGCCTATCGATCGCCTCGGTTTCTCGTTTTGCCGGCCTCTATCGCCCGCTCGGCGCCACTAAACTAACCACACGGCAGAGCGAAGAATGAGAAGGAAGAGGCGCAGAAACCCCAGAAACGTCGAAAACCGGCAACTGACTATTGCGATTGACGATTTTCTATCGAATCTGCTGTTCTAATACGGCTGTTTCGAAGGCCGCGTATCGTTTTTGCGGCCTGACCTGAGCGATTTCTTTTGATATCCGCTCTGGGAATCAACTTTAATGGACTTGAACACAGAAAAAAAGAATAAACTACATGAAAAATATATTAATTATTCATGTGGAATTTGTCGAATTTCCTTTTTCTCGACCGATAAAAGTTTGCCGAAGCTTTCTTTTAGATACAGAATCTCCCTTCTTAAAAACCAAAGCTCAAAGTAGTTTAAAAAAATCTCAGCTGCAAAAAAACTTTCTTTTTGAACGGCGGCAGGTAAGAGCTAAACCGAGCTCGTTTACACGACCAGCTGCGCCGGAAACAAGTTTTCCTCGTAGAAAAAAGTTTTTTTGAGATTATAATCTGGTCGTCCTGTTTTAGAGTCTTAATGAGAAAGGTAGTTCAAAAGTCCAAATTTCATAGTTCATCAGAATTTTAATCGAAGCTGGAAAAATCGAAAAGCAGTTAATCAAATAAATTTACAGCTTAGTTTTTCTTTTTTTAGAAGTTTTTTTTTCATTTTATTTACAAAGGCGCAACTTTTTCTGAATTTGACGTAATCAAGAAAGAAATAATGCGATATTGAATGTTTGATCTTCCTTCAACTCGGTCTCATATTCATTAGATTCAAATTTAGATTTTTTTCCTCGGTGTGTATAGTTCACTTGCCTCTCTCTATCTTCAGTAATGAAGATATTTGAAAGCACAAGAACTGACTCAAAGAATAGGCCGTCGAGTGCCGCCGCGAACAGACATTCCCGCACTACTAGCGATTAAACATCTCTACGTGGGCGCCTGCGTTCAGCGGCGAATCTGTGCGCCTCGGGGCATCTATTTATTAATTTTTCTTTTTCTCTCTCTCGCGGAGGCTATCAGAGGGTTCGACTGCCTGGAAGCAAAAAAAAAAAGAACGAAGAATGTGCAAAACAACCAGCGATCTTTGTTGCAACAAACAGGCCGAAAAATCGAGAAGCCAGAGAAAAAGACGCCGGCGGCGATAGAGTATGCAAGCGACACGTCACGCGGTCGTTGATCCACTAGCATGTACTACAATCGCGCCTCTCTGCGTCTCTCCATTTCCCCTGCTCTCGAATTTCGCCTGCGGGGCTGCCACGCAGCCGAATTCCTTCCACGTCTTCTTTCTTTTTCGTCTTTTTTGTGGTCCCCGCTGCAAAAATACACCTTCAATAACAACTTTTCAGGGTCAGAGCGGTCGCCAAAACAATCTCAATCCACTTTGATTTTTGTTTTTGGGACTCGTGCAAACGAGAGACTTTGGCAGTTGAAACAACAGAAAGGGTCGAAATAAGTCCTGGAATCGGCAAAAATACTCATAACTGTTGCGTGGGAAAATATTCATTTTTTAAAGCTTGAACGCTCGTGAATTCAACAATGGAATGCAATAAAAGGGAAATATATAATAATAATTACGCATTAAAATTACAAATGGCACGTGGAGAAAAGAAAGAGAAATAAGGCATGCAAATATTACAGAGAAAATAGATAAGTACCCAGTCAAGGTTCACACGGTATTGCACTTGGAATCAATAGGGAGAAGATCACTCGGTAAGGAACACCGTACAAAATTAAAACTGCAAAAACTCGTGTGAAGGTGATTATGTTGAGAGGTGAAAACTCGTCGGGAGGGCAAAATGTAAGATGCAAGCACTTTGGAAGATAAAAAGATCAGACTAACAAGTGAAATTAGATAATAACCGTGGACAAATCATGAAAATTAGGCTGAATCTGCGCTGAGGTCCCATTTGTTGATCATCTCCTTATTTCCATAGAAATCGAGGCCAAAAAAAAACCTAAACGTCATAAAATTTGATTTTCCTCAATAACTTGTCCGAACCTGTAAGAGCCTTCAATGCTCTTGGCGGATGCGTGGAGCAGAGCGTGGCAAAGATATTTCTGGTGCAGATCATCGGATTCGACGTAGGGAGAGATTATTGCCTTCACTTGTTCAATGCACTCAGACAGAATCTTGCTTCTATCTTGTAGGCTTTCCGAGTGACGCATGACGGAGAAAATCTGTAATAAACATATAATCTCAAGTTTGTAACGTAATGAAAGTCAAGCGAAAAAATTCGGCTTTTCCAACGTTTACAACAAAGTCTAACTTGCGCTTGCTTTTTCTGTAGATATTTTATAAATACAAGTTGCTTTTATTCTCAATATTAATTTTTAATCTGCCATTTAGTTGATTGTTTGCGGTCTTTCGGACCAAAAAGACAAATCTTCCGTATTTATTTATCAACATTTAGAACTATTTTTCCGTTCAAGTCCATAAAAAAATTGCTCAAATTTTTTTGTCTTTTCGGTTGCTGCCTTTCCGGTTTCAAATCATTACCCGCAAAATGTTTACAATGCAAAAATTTCCAGTTATTTTAATTTTTTTAAACTTTTAATGATGTAGAATATTAGAGCTTAGTTGTAGTTAGAAGATATCAAACCTCATAAACAGCGATCAATATCGTTTTGCCACTGTGAAGGTCAGGATCACTTATCCAAGGTTCATTGAAGTCGATCCTTTCGAGAAGCTTCTGGATAGCCTTTTCGAATCCGTAAGTCAGTCTCATAAAAGCCGGCAATGCATTTTCGAGTATTTTGGTGTGTTGCACCGTGCAGCGGTCGTTTCTAAAAACTCCATCGTCTTCAAATCGAATTTCAGTCAACTACAACTTTTTCTTAGATTTCCGATCTTCCTGGGTTTTTTTTTTCGTTTTTATTGTACTAGATTTTTTTTTTTTGAGTTATATTGTAAAATCAGTCTTTTTTTTTATAAGGCTCAAAATTAATTTAATTAGGTTTTTGGGTCTGGGCAGTTAGTTACAAGAACTTAGTGAAAAATTTTGAGAAAACAACAAGACCAGTTTGAAAATGAACGAAGTGCTTCTTACATGGAAAGAAGTTCGTTGACTGTCTCTGTGAGGCTGTCCTCATGTGCACCATTTTCTATTTGCGAATCTGTAAATTCCCACGTCAATAATCTTTCTTCTTTTAAAAGAATAACCTTGAGCCGCACAGACAAGAGCAATGCGAACAATATACTCAAAAAGGGCTCTGTGGGTCACGTAGTTCTTCAGACAATCTGAATATATGTTTATCAAAATAAGGCTTCTCTGGATGGGTTTTGGTATTTATTTTGTACATGGCGGCAAATTATTCCCTTTCTACTCAGTTTTCCGTTTTTCTAATCCTGAATTTTTTTAAAAGCGGCTTAATTGACAAATTACTGACCAACCATCCTGTGAAAGTGAATCCGCGAATTAAAAGTTTTACGTTTCTTGATAACAGCCTCATTTTTCACACTTCTTCTGATTTTTACTCTGAGCTGTGATGATTCTCTTTTGACTCACAAACGACTGTTGGATAGAAATGGTGGACGAAATTTCTCGAGTGGCAAATGAGCGCCTCAACTCCGCTCGTCAGAGAGTTTCTTTCGACGGTAGACAGACGAGCATCTACCAAACTTTCTTTCACCATCTGAAAAAGTTAACCCATATTTTGAACAATTGAGAGGTTCACCTGCAGCAACTCCTTTTTTGTTCCATAGGCGATCGGCTCTTCGAGAATGCGAAACACGATTGCCCACAGACGGCACCGCAAGCTTTCCAGTTTGCTGAACAAATCCTCATCCATTTTTTAGTTCATTCAATAAAATGAGTTAAAAGGTGATATTCAAGGTGCGGGACTTTTTGTAATCCAACCAAGAAAATCATTCGAAATGAAGCATATTTTTAAGCGAAGTGTAGTATAGTTATCTGTTTGAAAAGTACCTCTCCGGGATGCCTTTCAGAAACATAACAAAGTTGCTGCAAAGACTGATGACACTTGGCAGCTGGTCCACGAAGGTTGACTGAAAAAGGATCAAAACGGCATCCAGTGTCATTTCAATCACAGCCGTACTGCCGCCCAAGCCTTCCCCTATCTAAATTTCGATTTTCTTACAGCTATGTTTTCATTTCATTACATAGCCGCAAATCTGCTTATCAGTAATGGAAGCTTCTTCCAAGCCAAGAACCGCCACGCATTTTATAATTCCATACAGCACATAACCGTTCTTGTAGTTGTTCGGCAAAGCGCCTGAATCGAAAAAAGCATTATTGAGAGCTAAAGTGGATAACCCAATCGATGAATCGCCTGGAAACTGTTGAGCATGAAAATATAGTAAGACTCCGTGTCGAACAAGTCGCTGAGGCAAGTGAGCTAAAAAAGATGCTGGCTTCGTGGAAAAATTTTGGTTTACCGTGACAGTGATTGCGTAAAGAACATTGGGAGCCAGATCTTGAACTCCTTTCGACAGCCAGTGATTGCAAATATCAATCATTGATCTGAGATGGCTAGCCGTGTCCAAATCATGGGTCGTATTCAACAAGAAAGCAGACATGGACGAAGAGAGCTGCTGAAAAAAAAGATTTGATACCGTTTTTAGAAAAATGGTTCTTTTCGTCGCTTCCATTGTAGAAATATCAGTTTTCTACTTCTGTAAAAAATGTTTTTTCGGTTATACTTACCTTAGGATGAGGAACTAAATCTGAACTCGCAGTTTCAGCGGACAAGACCCCACACAAGTTCCATAGAGAGAGAACCGAAAGCTGGCCAAAATTGTACTCCTCCGTCTGAAATTTTGGGTTATTTTGAAAAGGAAACTGCAACTTGCTGTATTCCGAAGCATCTCGATGTTTTGAGAGAATGCGCTCTTGACTTCCACAGATGTGAGTTTTGATTTTACTTCGGCCAGTTCCATTAGCAATCTGGAAAAAGTCGAGTGAAAAACAAAGTGTTTCGTTATGATTTACCTCGATTTGAAAAAGGGACCGCTGCGCTCTCGATGCTTCACAATATATTGACTGCTTCGGTCGCCTCCGAGAGGAAAAGCGTGAGCTCCCAGCAGCAGCTCACACAGTTGCAAGAAGGCGACGGCTGTTCTTTCGCTGCGCTCCTCGTAATCCTGAGAACGAAAAAATCCATAACTCAAATAATTTTCCATAAAACCGTTTTTAATTTTTTTAATTTTAATTTCGAAAAGAAATTAAAGAATTTTGAAATAAAGACCTACCTGCACAGCTGCGACTTCTTCACCCACAGGCATTGACGCCAAAACTCCGAAAAAGCTCATGAAAAGCTCTTCGAACTGGCTTCGATGAAGCCAACCAAGCCTGAACCATACAAAGTTCAAAACAATATTCAATTTACTACCAGCTGGCACGAAATTTGAAATCTTTCAAAACATCCGTGTCGCGGCTCAATTCCGGTACACTTATCAAAGAAACGCCAAAAAGTTTATGTGGTTTCCATTCCGTTTGGATTTGCCACCCATTCCTGTAAAATGTTTTTTGGTAAAAATGAAAAAAAAAAGGAAGAAAAACCTGACAGCTTCAACGGGAATCATTGCAAGGCCGTATAAAATGGGATGACGCAACAAGGCTGAATTAGAATGTTTCAAACTGTCGTTCTTGTCGTTCTTACTGATCCAAACAGATTTGATCAGATCCGATTCGTTGGTATCTGGCGAGCTGATTAATCCCATGACATGTTGAGCCACAATGAACGCCTCTCTCAAAGTTGCTAAAAAGGAAATTTCAACATTGATTGCTTCCATAATGCTTCACCTTCTGAAAGCTTTCTCTCGGCCACTTCTTTTTCTGCACTCGGAGGATAGTTAAAAGTCAGCTTGAGGCCTTTAAGTGTAAGACGGGTGTAGTTTCTTTTCTGGAACAAGTTTAAAAATTACTTCTGTAAATAATATAAAACAGTACATCGATTGTCAAATATTTCAGGATGCCTGAGTAAACTGTGAAAAGACATTGTTCTGTTTTGATGGCGTTTTGAACGGCATCATCACGTAGAATGAAGCGCACGCCCGTCATGAATTGTTCGTTAGAACAGTTCTGAAATATTTCTTATTAAATGACTACGTAATTAATCAAGAAAGACTTCGACTGTTATATTCCGAAGAGCCGTTTCGGCATCAGAAACCGTGAGACAGTAATCGATGTGATGAGAATAGGGCTGAAAAAACATTCTTACAAACAAACTTAAGATGAATTTGAACTCACTATCTTTTGAAAAAAGCTGATGATTTTGATTTTCAACTCTACGCATTCTTGTTTGCTACCATATTTTCTGTAGAAACTTTCATCGTTTTCGTTGTCTCCATCCAGCAAATATCGAGTCAGTCGGCTGATATTCTTTTTCATCATCTCATAAAGGGGAAGATCAAGTTCTGAATTGATAATTTTCAAGGAATCGTTAGCGTTGAAACCTTGTGAAGCGCTTAGTTCCAGAGTCACACACTGGAGAAAGCGGCAATAAAAGTTGAGAAGTTCGCCTTTTCCCGATTTCGCCTGAAAAAAACCCTGTGATAAAAAATGTTTTGATACAGAAAATTCTTATGGGAATGGAAATGAGAAAAACGTCTATCGTAAAAATTACAAAAAATTCTTTTGTTATTATTACTCACAACTTGCTCATGAACCCTGATCATTTTTTCTATCGGAGAACGAGCCAGGGCTTGAAGACATTGAGGTCGACACGTGTAAATGGAGGCTACGATTTCCAGCCAGTCATTAGACGAGTTTTCGGATCTGGAATATGTGAATAAAACTTTGAACAATAGTTTATTCTTACTTCTTTGCATTCAAATCGGCAATAGCCATTGGGAGATCGTCATCTGGAAGTTCTCTGAAAAAAGACATTTTACACATGCTCCTGAATTTTAATCTCTCACTCTCGTTCGTTTTGTGGTTCGTTTCTCAATGTAGAGAAATAAAAACCGGTCAGTGCATCGGGGGAAAAATTCAAATAGGTTGAAAAGAAGTCTCTGACCCAAGGGATCCGATCGAAAGGAGGAGCCGCACCTATTATTTTTTCATCTTGCAATGACTTTTAAAATGCCATTACCTTCTTCTTTGAGTTTTTCAACCCATTCCACTTTCAAATCAAACTGCAAGAATTGATTCAAGTGTGCCATAGACTGATTCAAATCAGAAAAAAATGTGGTCTGAAAAAAAGAAATTACTTCAAAAAAATTACTAACCCAGGTCCATTTTCTGTCGAAACGAGTAAATGATAGACGATAAGCATCACGCTAACATGTCCTTCGCAGAACTTCTCCATGATTTTCTGAATATGACGAGAATGAAGAAAAAACTCGGCTAGAAAAGATGCGCCGAGAAATTGTATTTTGAGCAAGGCTTTCGAAACAAATAATTCTAAATAAACGAAAGACTAACCGAAATTTCAAATTTTTCAATTTTCATCAGCGCTTCCGTCATTTTTGAGAAAAACACAACCAGCTGGAAAAAAGTGTTTTCCTTCGGCTCTTCCAATTCTATCAATTCGATAAATTTCTTTGTCAAGATATCCGACAAGCTCGGTCTAAAAAGACATGATTTTGAAAACTTCGAACATCTCGTTTATACTCTTTCTTCCCGAACAAATGATGAATATAAATGAAAAATTCAAGCGTCGCTGCGGGAGCCGCTCTCCAACAGCGAGGCCCGACTTCGTGAACGACTTTCCACAGAAAATGATTCTGCGGGTTTTCCGCTAAAGCCGAGAGCAGAAGCGTACTGGCTGACAGCGCTGAAATCAAACTGATGATGAGTTTTATTCTAAATACACAACCATTGGTGACATGTTTTTTGTCCATTTTGGATTCAGATGAAACAAGAATCAACTTTTGCATAGCCTTCACATCTTCGTTGGCCATAACACGATGTTTCAAAAACACAACAACGACTTCACAGAGCTGCAATTTTTTTAATTACTGTCAAGAAAGCATTTTTGAAAAAACCGTATATAGCAAGCTTGGAGATAAATTTGCTACATTTGATAGTTTTCCGCGAAGTTTTCGCAGAAGAACACCTTCAGGGTCCAACGTCTCCAAAGGCAAACCTCCAGAAACGTACTCTTTGGCAAGGTTGTACACCTGCAAATTTTGAATTTACAACGGTTCTGAAGTTGAAAATTGCCTGGATCATATTCTGCTCGCTTCTGTTCATCAACGACATCACGCGTCCGAAAAAGTCTCTCAGTTGGTCAATTATGAAGTCCGTGCTGTGGAATTTTTGGCTTGACGTGCCCAGTTCAGGAAGAAAAAGGCCCCTGAGAATTAAAATCATAAACAGTGTACTGAAATCCTATCAACCTCTCCAAAAAATTATCGAAGCCTTCTGGATTCCGCACTTTCATGACAAGATTTTGCAAGTTAATCCAACAAGGATTCTCATCTGAACGGAATTGGAATTAGCTCAGATTCTAAACATACCGTGCAATCGGAACTTCTCCGCGTAACTCTGTGAAAGCGAATATTCCATATGACAGAGAGAACTCTTAGTTTTTAATTTCAGCATTTGAGTTAAAAACGTCGTCATTTCTGAAGGCACAATGGAAAACAACGTCTGAAAAGTATAACACATTATTCATAAGAGCTCCGAAAGAGGTACTTTTGCATAGAGTAGCATCTCGTCGTAGACGTAACGATGAAAACTGTTGAATCCTTCAGGCTCGGGGAAAAACACCTCGAAAAGGCTACAAAGGCATTCAAGCGCTGCTTTCAAAGGCTCGGTGAACTTTTCATCCACGTCATTTTGCATTGAAGCCTGAAAATATGATAAAAAAAATAGATCGGATAAAAAACTTACAAAATAGTTGTTGCACGATCCTTGGAAAGCTGAATAAGCTTCTTGAAGACATTCGGCTTCAGAGAATTTGCTGCTCTCTCCTTTTTTATTTTTGCAGGGAGTGTGAGCCGTTCCAATCAGGCAGGAAAAATCGTTCACATTTCTGTTGACGACCACTTTTTTGTTTGTAACTGCAGTCGCATTTGCGGAAACATGGGACATCACCAAGGCGTAATAAAGGTTCAAGACTCTGAAATTATCGTGAATCTCAAGTTGAAAAAAAAATTTAACGTAGTAGAAAACTGTCTTTCATATTTTTTGAATTTGTGAACCATATTTTTGTAGTTCACAAAAATTATTTTCCTAATAAACAGTTTTCATACACGAAATTATCAGGTTGTCGAGTAACATTTGAAAAAAACGAAATTCTTGTTCGAGAACTTAAAATCAAACTTCAATTGTTAATTATTTACCGCATGGCATTTATCATGATCGTTTCGGCGTATTCTTCAACGAAGTCTGGCCTTTTCTTTCCTTTTGTTGATTCTATCAGAAACGCTGAAAACACAAAATAAGTTAATATAGCTTTCATTCTTCTGAAGAAAAACCTCCAATTATTTTGCCGAAGGCTCTCAAGTATCCAGAAATGTGTACAGGTTTCCTGACATCAAAGATGTAAGCTTGTGTCAGAGGCTCCATTACAGATCTGAAGACTCCAAGTGTTTTCACAAAAAAGTTTCTGTAAATTACCTGTAAATATTGGGGAAAAGCGCCGGACAGAAAACGTCCGCCAAACATGAGACTATATCACCGAAATTCGGCTGAAAAAATTTCATAATATTTTCCCATCATTGTGATTGAAACCAGCAGTTCTCGGCAGTTCAACGACTCCCCTGCGAAGAGCATCCCAAAAAATCTTTCAAGGTTTTTGGCAACTTCTTGATGATTTTTATTGGTCAAATCAACTTCTCGTGAAACGCCAAGTCTCATTTGCTGGAAGAAAGAAATCAATTCGGAAGTGTGTTTTTTACTAACAAAGGGTTGATGACAGTTGAACGCTAAAATTTGATTTTCTCGACCTTCACCAGAGATGAGCCTTAAAAACAACTGTCATATAATTTTGAAGGCAAGTTTCAAGCCTGGGTAACATAGAAAGGGCTGCGGCAAAGCCACTAGAACTTGATCCCTGAGCAAGAAGGGAAAACAAAGAGGATCCGATGGTAAACTTTGTGGCTTCAACTCCGTGCTTAGAAGTCATTTCGGCCAAGTAGTTTGCACAACTGAGCTGTAATACAGAAATTACACAATGTAGCAGAAAAGCCAACTATTATACCTGCAAGGTGCTGTCAAACCCTTCACGACATTCCTTTACCACCAAAGAATATACGTCGTGGCTATACGCGCGGTTGTTGAACTTATGATTCACGACATCCGTGAAAGCTTCAATGAGAGCTTTTCGAGTGTACAATCTCTCAAGTGACGTTTCCGCAATTTTCGTCAGCTTTTCAAAAACAATGTCAATCACTGAAGAAGTATATTTAAAGACTGTAAGGAGAGCAAATCCAAACATTGACAACCGAACGTATCAGCATTGATATAAAGCCGCAAGCTAAGCTTCGTTGCGATGGAGCAGACGCCGGGATCGTCGAGCAGAGCGAATTCGCTGACTTCAGTCATCTTTTGATACCCTTTTTCTGTAACCAATTCCAAGGAGTTTTATTAGAGGTGAACTCAATCAGAACGAACCTCCAAACACCACGAGGTTTGAAATGTTTGCGAATTTCGACACCACGTACAAGCAAGAAAGCGCCAAACGTTGAATCGAAATTCGTGCCGAGTCATTGATACAACCAGGATTCCCAGTCAACAAGTATCTCCTAGCAATAATCAAACTGCATTTCTTCAGAACGGATCCATTTTCTAAATTGAGCGCAATGGAAAACTTTGAAGATAAATTTAAAAAACCGTCTGAATGATCGAAAATTCGGAATGGTTCCAACGGTTTCTCTATTTTAGGTTGCTGGTTTATTTGTTCTTCATATAGTTCTGCGTTCATCAACGGGTCGATTATATCCTCAGCAGGATCCTGAATGAAACATTTTTTTCGATAGTTCGCAGCAATATGAAAACCTCTGCTTCTGAATTTCTGGATGCGTTGTAATCAACGACACCTGAAAGAACTCCGCATGAGAAGCAGATATATAAATGAAAAACCGTTTTGAGTCATGGAGATCACTTTTCCAGCAAGAGAAAAACTGTTGAGAACACTGAAAAACATTTTTTTATAAATGAAAAACTTCACAACATTTTGAATCATAACTTACCTCGGGAAAGCTGCGATAAGAGCTTTCAGGAGGTCAAACGCTTCGTGAACAACTTCGCCGCCTTGCCTTTCAATGACGAATAAGGCAAGAAGCAGAGCCTTGAAACAAACATTGTACGTTGGGGGAATTCCGCGTTTTATGGAAATGTTTTTTTCAATCATAAAAAAATAAAATATACATTTTAGTTTCAGTCAAAATTCAAAAGATAACGCTCTCTCAGATCATTCCATCCAAAAGGGTCCGCTCTAGCTTTTATTAGAAAATGGCCAGATGAGAAAAAACAAAATCGTTACGACACTTCCTCACTTTCTTTTGCTCTAGACAAAACGAGCGTTTCAAAACTTTTATAAGATGGTTGAAAATTTTGGCCACGTTTTGTAGATCTTTATGACCTGACGAAAACTTTTGCTTAGAAATTTTGCGACGGCTTGAAAGTTCCCTTCTGCATCGACTACTTGTGTGAAAACCCCAGCAAGCATCACTTATTGGAATTTCAACCTCTTTCAAAAGCTCGTGGTCCAGATCGAAAGAAGCGTTTGCCAGAAGCTTCAGCGCAATAAAAGCGCCCACTTTACCGCCCTTGAAAAATACCATTTTGGCCATGTCGAGACAATGAGAAAACGTCTGAAAACTCGAACTTTATAGTTTACTAGGAAACGGAAAGTTGAACCTGCGGAACCAAAGTCAAGTTGTTTTTGCAAATGACGAACAAAACTTTTGCTGCACACCTCGCTCCAGCGCCGGAGCTTTTCTCGAGCTGTTGGAACGCGACTTTCAATAGTATCTGATAAAATTATCCCATCAAAACCCGAAAAAGGGTAGTTAAATTGATACTTCAAGCTGGCGCGGGGCGTTTCTCGAGCAGAAGCAAATGCTTGGGAAACTTGCTTGGAGCGCAGTCTGGACAATGTTCTCTTGACTCTCGATTGCTTTTGTCAACAATTCAATCACTCTCACAGATTTATCGGACCTCAAGCTGTGAGGTTACATTGGGAGGTAATTCTGTACTAACGGAAACTCGTCGAAGTAAGAAGCCAAGTACGCCAAATGTGTGAGGCAAAAGACGATGCTGCGGCCAGATTTCGCTGAGGACAACTGTCGAATCAGAATTTCCAGCACCCATTCGTGTCGGTTTGCGTATATCAACTTCTGAAACTCATCAATTGGAAACTTTCTACAAGTGATCGCCATACTTTTGATAAAATCGAGATGATTTCTCCAGCGATCAGCCGCTCGTTGACATCGGGATCATCAATGAAAGACGATGCCATGTTCACGTAATCCAAAACTTGTTGAAATGAACACTGAAATAATCTTGATTTTTGAATATTATCATGATAAATGAACCTGAAAAAGCATGAAGTCATTACTGAAAAGAGAAACAACTTCTTTCAGTTCACGGAGATCAGAAGTCGACGGAACACTGAAAATTTGATGAAGAATTCAAATAGATTGTTTTGGCTCACTCCGCTGACGCCGTTGCAGAAGTTGATGTTATCCTGCTCTTCATTTTGTCGAGGACAGGTTTCATCTTCCTGAAAAAAAACATTAGAACAGCAGGACAGCAAACGAATGCAAATATTAAAATCGATTTCTGATAAGACGGGGGAACCGATAAATTTAAAAGAAAAAAACAAATCATGTTAAATTGCAAATCGATTTATATGGAAAAAAACAAGCTTTTTATAACCTTCAATTATTTTCAAAAAGAAAAAAAAATTATTAGAAATTTGAATCTGAAAATGCGCGTGAGGTTAATTGTTTTCACACTTCACCGTCTGCAAACGCACTCTTGGATTATCGTACCCGTGTCTGGCTTCAGAAAAAAGTTTTTTCGCCTTGCGAACAATCAATATTATTATTAGAAGTTGTGATATGAACTTCGCTATACTTTTCATCTTGAAGTGAAAATTAACTTATTTTCACTTTAGTACATTCATTTAAAAATATTTCAGTCAACTTTCAACCGTTTTTTTTTGTGATACTGTTCAATACATGTATGATTAATTTTTTTATGCATGATTTCCATTCTATCAGGAAAAAAATATTGCTTTTTTTATTAGAGAGAAAGCTCCGAAAAAGATGATTCTTAGAGTCATTTTTTTTGTTTCATATCTCTCAATTTTTTTGTACTTTTTTTCATACTTGTTAAAAAGTTGGATTGTTTCAGAAAGTTTTGAAAAATGTATACAAGAAGTAAAAAAACAAAAAAATATGCTGCTTATTCGGTGAATGTTACGACAATCGCGAAAAACTAATGAGGGCTTTTCGTATTTTCATGCGTCCTCTCGCTTTCAAAAGAAAACCTTTGAACGAAAAGACATCTAAGTGTAATATTCATAATAAAATGTAAGAATAAATGAAACGAAGCAAAGCGAAGAGAAAAAATGAAGTAAGACAATAAGTGAGAATGAAAGACATCGTTGGCAACGCCGAGTATCGAGCGATGTTTAGCGCGGCGGAGGTCAAAGTGAGGGGAGGTAACAGGTCAAAAAAATATCCAAAAATATAGAATAAGTCCATATTTTTAAAAGGTAAGTCAGAAATCGTTACCTGTTGCATTTGTACCTGTTGCATAATTAAATCTGATGGTTTTTTTGAATTTAGTTTTTTTGGATGGTTTAGATTTTGAAGTTCTAAATGATGTCGTTAATTCATAGTGGTTGAGAATGAAAAATTTTGATGTCGATAATCTTTTTGATGAAATTTAAATTTGAAGCAGCATAGGAGAATCTAACGATTACTAAATGACGGTCCTAGAAAGGATACCTAATGACTTCAAATTTTAAATTGAAAAAAATCCAAATTTAAAAAGTTGAGTTCTACATGATTCCCTATCGGTTCTTTATTAAGCTCTAGTGAGTGAAGGTATAAATGATTATTGATTTGCTGCATTTTGATCTTATTTATATTTAGATTAAGGACAGGTCATTCATAAATCTAGCGGCGTAGGATTGCGTTTGTCGTTGTCGGAAGTGGCTTCATTGTTGAGATAGGATTATATTCCATAGTTGTTAATGTGAAAAAAACCGCCTCAGCCAGATGAAAAGTTTGAAAACTATTAAAATGATGAATTTTCTTGTTTCTTTGTTTCTCTTTTTATCGAATTTTTAGAAAAGAAGTTTGAAGCTTTTGGTAGTCGGTAATAGCTTACTAGCTTACTAAAATTCAGTTTTTTAGATGGTTTGGATTTTAAAATTCTAAATGATGTCGTGAAGACGTGAAAATCGAAGATTAAGGGTTTCTGTGAACTTCAAAAAACATTAATCAAAAAAATCATGCGGTTTGGGAGGCTTTTTCAAAAAAATAATTTCCAGTTCAGCAGGTCTCTGTAATTGTGAAAAAAACTCTTCAAAGGGTTCAAGTGGAACAAATGGATAGCAGGAGGTCCAAGTTTTTCAAAGCAATTTTTCTCAATAATTCTAGGTAAATTTCCAAAAAAAACCATTTGTTTCATCTTTTAGTTGTTTCATTCTTCCACACGATTGTCGAAAACATCACCGAAAACCTTCTAAAAAAGTTTTTGGAGTACAGAAGTCACCCCGATTTTTGAAAAAAAAAGAACGCGTTGTAATATGTCGCAATTCGGAGCGAAACGTGATGTATCATTTGATCGCGGTGTGACAGAACGACATTTTCAGTTCAGAGAACTGTATGACTTTGCAAAATCTGAAAAGAATCGAGACTTGAAATTGAATCATTTATTGCATTCGTTGAAATGTTTAACAACAAACTGTGGGATTTCTTCGACTAGGGTCGTGTCTTGAAAGAACTTAGATACAAGGCATAGAAAGAATCGGTTATAACGCATGTGAGACCCGGACATTTCTGTCGACGTCAACTGTAGAAACGCGCTCGGAGATTTCGCTGCAGGCCTTCAATTGGAATTCTTTGGTGATGTAGATGTACTCAACGAGACTGGCAACCAGCTTCTCACTGTAAATTCATTTTCGAATAAATCTGCAGTATGAAAAGCAAACCTCGTCTTATTTTCATCATCCAAGCGCGGAAGGAATTCAACGATTTCGGTGGCGACCAGCTTGGTCAAGTCAATGGTAAGCATCGCTTTGACAAATTCAAGAGCGTTGATTCCATTGGCTGCGGGTGTGCCAACTGCTGGGGCATATCTCACATCGAAACCGTCGAGGTCAATAGAAAGACCGTAACCGATGGTGTTCCTTGAATTTCGAAATTTTCATCTGACGTCATATTTTCCTCTCACCTTGATACTAAATACTGGGCTTCTTGCATAACATCGGTTATACCACGACGATGGACTTCATCGGCATAGAAAATTCGAACGCCCAACTTCTCCAAGAACTCCTCAAACAATTTCTTTTGATTAATTGATTCAGGTACAAAAAACCTGTTCTGCGCTTTCATAGTCCCGAATTCCAACCATGCAAAGGTTGTGTGGCAAAATCTTCGGCATTCGGTCTCCAACATGAACTAAACTTTTGTCTCCAAATCCGAGAAGATGAGCAACTGGCATGCCGTGAATGTTTCCAGTTCCACTGGTTTCTGGAGTGTGCGCGTCCTAGAAACATTTCTGGTATAGATTAAAGAAACCACGAACAAACCATATGCGCATCAACCCAAATAAGACCCAGGTCGCCTGCTGGTCGGAGAGCCGTAGAAACTCCGCTCCAAGTGCCGATCGCACAACTGTGGTCTCCTCCCAGAACCAGCAGCTCTTCCTTATTTTCGATGGCTTCTTTCGTGTAGTACGCTAGTTGACGACATGTCTGAGTGCATTTTCGTAAGAATTCCGACACTCCAACAGAATTTGTATTGCATCAGATTGATGAAATCAAGTACAGAAGAAAGAAAAGATCCAACCTGTTTCACTCCCAATAAAGCTTTCTGCTGGCGACCTGTAGAAATTTCATCGACAACGGGACCCCAACGGAGCTCAACGCGCATTCTATCGAGAAACTGTGAGTTTTTGATGATTTCCACTGCTTTTTCACATCCCAACTCCCTGAAAGTCATCATCAACATTTGAAAAACTGAGAAGTTTTACCTGCCGGCTTGTCCGTTTGCGCAGCCAATCGCTGTAATCACTTGCTTCGCTAAAGCTGTAGTTCTTCTCATGTTGAATGTAGAAAGACGATGAAAACTTGAAGAAGATTAGGAAATCCCTTTCGAAGAGAGACGCACGTGGTGATTTCTGATATGCGACAATTTATATGACGGCCATCTCTCTTTTTTTCTTGGTCTCGCTGTGGGCGGCGCTCCTCCGTACCAAAGGTTGAGAGAAGATCTGTGACGGCCCGTTATTTCGTTTCTCTTTTAGTGGAACTGCTTCCGATGACAAAAATAAACTTTTGATGATTTTCGATACCGTAAGACTAAGAATGATGCGAGAACATTGAATTCGATTTTATTTTTTGTGAAATAACAATAACAACAACGGTTATCTACATACATTGAGTGTCCGATTGCTGAGAGGTAGACCAAAATTTTAAATTAAGAATTTGAGAGAAAAATTGTTTCGAAAACGTTGAAGCTTGGAGAGCCTTTTGAACAGGAGACTGTAAAAACTTGAGTAGACCGATTTCTTGTAGTTATAGCCCCTTTGAAAATAGTTCTACTACTCAACAGTTTTGTCTAAAAATTGGAAATTTATCATAATAATTACATTTACAAATCTATTGTTTTCCCATGTTTTGAATGATTCAACCGCTGAACTAAACTTCTGAATAAAGTTTTTTTCCGAAGACGTACATTATCAAAAATAATAATTCAAAGCAAAATAGCATTTATAAAACTTTTTAACGGCTATAAGCTTCTCTTGAAAAAAAAGAAGTTAAAATAAAAATAAAAGCATAAAAAACAAAAAAAATGGAATTCAATAAAAAAATGCCTAAAACGCGTCACAGTCATTGTGGACATGTCTTTGTATACCGTATATGTTTCAAAGTATATTTTACATTATCCCTGAAAGTTATATATAAATCGGATAAGTACTCGCTGAGATATCTCCAAAAAACCAAAACTTAATAGACTTTTGAGCGGTACTGTAGATGAACTTGCAGACCATTTTATAAAAAAAGCTATCTACGACAAAACCCGAATAAGTTTTTTAAATTACTGACTAAAAAAAGAAGTCGTTTGTTAATTTGAAAGAGAGCACGAGATATGTTTTCTATGATACTTTTTCGAATCACATCTGTAATAAAAAGAAGTCACAGTTACAGTAACTTTTTAGAAGACGGGGAGTCGTCCGGTGTCACCTTCGTCATTTCGTTGACAAGCAACCCGTTTCGTCGAAATCATCAACCAAAAGAACATAGAAGGTGCCGATTCATGGTCGACCGAGTCTTGGACCGCGTGACATTGTTTGGGGAAATCCCCTCATAAATCATGCAAGATCAAACCACGTTCCTAGGAATGCCAAGTTATTTGTATTCCCTCCATGAAATCACGTTTTCTGATGCCTATTGTGGGAAGTTTTTGTATTTCAAAAGATCTTTTTCAATAATTTTGCCCATGGCTCATTTTTTTCGAATTATCTATTTTCTTTTTGATCTCTATGGCTCATGTGATACTCTCTGATCTTGTTTGAACTGTTTCGAAGAAATTTTTTGAGTTTGAAACTTCAAATTTGGTTTTTTTTTCACTGCAAAATGTCAAGTGGCGTCAACCTCATGAAATCTGTTTGCAAACATAAAAAACGTTGTTAATGAGTATACATGTAACATATCAATAATTTTTCCAATTTCAGAAAGGTTTATTTCGGCTCATAGTTTGAACGCATGATAGAGAAAAAAACTCGGATCACAATGAAAATTTAGATAATAATCGATAAATACATTAATTTAGAAGAGTTCTATGACGTGTTTAAATGAAAATAAAGCAATGAATTGACAAAAAAGAAAGAAAATCTTGTAACAAGCTTTTTTCAAAAATTATATGATAAAAAGTCAGGTGGACAAAATTTCCAGCAAGCGGAGATTGAAATTAAATGTCGATAGACAGCTTGACTTACATAAGTTTGGTTCGAGAAAGTATAATTTTTCACTTACAATCTTCTAAAAGAGTTTACCAGAGTGTACAACGACTTTCTGGGTTCATTGGAGTGTTAGTTTTACAATGAAAAGCTTGGGCAAATTCTGGCTGGTTGGCCAGCAGAACATTGACCCTTTGGACATCAGGAGAGTGGACGTTTGTCGCGACATCGTTCAAGAGAGCTTGTCTTCGGGTGTTTCCGCACCACGACTGAAATATCTTTCGATAACACATTTCAGAGAACGATCAAATCAGATAACAAGGTAGAACTTTCAAAAATTAGCTTTATAGAACTGTACTTACGTAAGCGTAGTTCAGAAAGAACTGTTGATTTGGCGTATATTCTTCCAATCCCGACACAGATACTTCTTCTTGTTTCGTCGCCTTGTTCATTGCCTAAAAGTGCAGTGCAAAAATATATCCTGAAGGGTAAAAGAAAAATTTAGTGTAAATACTGTTTTTGAATTTTTTTTTTTCTAAAACTCCGTGTAAAATCTTCACTCTTAGTTGTCGCTCTACTTCTGACGCTTCCACCTAGACCGCGGACTCTGGGTTCCAGCACAAGATACGCTAGATTCTGAGCTCGTCAAGGCGCAACTGAATGGACTACGAGCAGAAGAACGCGGCGAAGGACCGTAAGACCATGCTTTCAACTCTTTGGACTACATGCTAGGACGTCTAGTTCGCCAAAGGAGGTTGTTCGTTATAGCTTTTGAAGTTCTTGTTCATCGCCTAGTCGATTATATCTATGACTGAAACAACTAAATAAATGGTTTGATTTTATTGAAAACGCAAAAAAAGATGATCTGAATGTTTTTTAGTCGTGTCTGTACTAGCTAAGTAAAAAATGTTCAACTTTGCAAAGAAAATTCTCTTCTACACCGGGCGGAGATTTCTTACTAATCTCATCAAAACATTTCAGTAAGAAAGGAAGAAATGAGCATACTCCAAGAGCAAGTCGCATTCCACCGTTGTCCGCAATGTTCTCTCCTAACGTCCTTTTTCCGTCAACCTGAAAAAAATCTTCAGTTTCAAAGAAAAAAGTGAATATGGAGAAAACTCACATGTACGCCTAGATCCTCGATGAAAACTTGATCATACTGTTCTTCAATGCACAATTTCCTTCTTTCATAATTGTCGAACGTCTCTTTACCCCACCAGTTTTTCTTGTTCCCGTTTTCATCAAATAGGGCTCCTAATCAAAGTTTTTTTCTGAACGCACCAAAAATGTAACCGTAATTATCGAATCCGTGTGTCATTTCGTGCCCTATAACTACGCCAATCGAACCATAGTTCATCGCTCTGAAAAAAGGTGACATATTCACAGGACAAATTGCATCAGAACTATGTAACCTGGGAAAAGTGGAGTTGAAGTATGGGGTAAAGAGAATTCCAGCTAGTATTGCTGCAAACACTTTTCAAGAAGAAACATTGAAAGATCGAATTTTACCTATATTATTATGACTAGGATCATAGAACGCGTTAATTTGCGCTGCTGGAAAATCGAATTCTTCTTTTTTGTTGGATTTATTGAGTAGAGTCAAGGAACGCATTTGAGCCCAACTGGTGACGCTGTCTGTGATCTCTCGGAAATTATGGAATTCAGAGAAAGTGAGCTGAAATAAGAGTCTTCATGATGAAAACTTCTCATCAACTTTACGTTTGCGTATTTGCGAGCAATCAAAGTTTGATTAAAGATATCTTCGTTGTATCCGATGTACTCGCCGATTGCTTTGGTCTGCAGGAGAGAAATTCGAAGGAAGCATTAGAAATGAATACCTTCAGCCGAGCACGATTTTTAGTTTTCTCGTCCATCCAGGTATTCTCATCGAGAAGTTTCAGAAACTCGTTTTTGATGTTGAGAACGATTTCTTGAAGTTCAACTCCTGAAATTGAGGCAGAGGGAGACGTTATGAATTACCGTCCAAATGGCTTAATTCATAATGTATCGGAAAGTTGAGTGTTCAAATTAAATTAAATTTCTAATTTTTTTGGTTCAATATCGCTGTGCAATAGGAAAAAATTTTAGTGCAAAAGTACGGCCAAACCATTTTCGTGCTTTTGAAAAAGGCGAACATTGGACTGAAATTTAAAAACCATCGAAAAAAAAAAATCATAAATTTTTTCTATATCTAAGCATTCTGTTTAGAAATCCAACTTGGCGTTAGTGACATGCAAAACATTTGAATGTAGAAAAATCTCACTTGTATTTTTTTCAAAATATTTCAAGACGTACTGATGCCCGACCAGGTCCGGAAACAGAGAATTCGTCGCTTCAATGCAGGAAACAATTCTGTCTTTGTTTTTGACGCCCGTGACGTCAAGTTCGTATTGCTGAAATGATGATTTACAGATCAATAATCGGAAAATGAGTCGCTAACACTCAATAAGTCTTGATATCGCTGATCCATGAACTCTCCATAGTGAAATACCGCTTTCCATTCCAAGTAGTCCTGCAGAGTTTTGTTAGGTAGAATAGCGATCAATTCTTCCGTTCGCGCGACTGCAAGGCTGTCCGAAATTCGTATTTCACTATTTTGGAGATTTTCGAAAAGATCTCCGGGAATTATGCTGCGGAAATATCGATCCCAGTCAACCTGAATAAAATCAAAATTTAGAATTTTAGTGAGCAACTGACGGAATGGAGAACGTTGGGCAGTTCTCGCATCTTGACTGTTATATCCATGAAGTTGTTACGAGTCTCCTGTTGAATCTGAAAAGTTCGAAATTTCTTGAGCCATAAAAAAAGCATGAAAATTCCCAATCCCTAAAAAAATTTTATGTTTTCAAAACTAGCCCAATACATCTTGTTAACAGGCGCGGTCGTTTTACTTTCGGTTTGGAATATCTTAAAAATTGGTCAAAAATATTTTGGTTTCACCAGATAAGAAACCTGGAAGTTTCAAACAGCAAAACTTCATATTTTTTGAGAAATAAGAGCCTGGAGCTTCAAAAAAGCCTATTTTAATGGATTTTGAGGGTTTCTTTAATGTTAACTTTCTCGAAAATGAGGTGGATTTGCAGGTTCAGACTTTTGGAGTTTTCATTTGATACAACAAAGAGTGTTCTGCTCAATTTTCAGGAAATTCCCAGCCGCAAAATACACCTCACTTGTAAGTGCCAAAAATGTTTTTGAACAGAGATCCTGATTTTTTTTTTCAAAGAGTAAGGTTCCTATAATACAGAATATATAACCTTATGAAAGATACCTCGATCAGTTTTTGAAACCATCAAAGAAAGAAGTTTCGAAAAATTCATTTATCCTACCAAGCAGGGCTCTAGTTAACTTCAACATTCCCTTTATCATCCCAAACCTTTGCGATTGTTTGGTCGACCCGAAGAAATGATTCAACTCTACGAAAGGCGTCGTCTGGAGTCCCTTTGAACACTTGATGATTTTCGTCATCGAATGACAAAAGTTGTAGCAACTGGAAGAGAAATGTACGCAATCCATTGTACTCATGCATGTAGATCGGGTTGAAATAAGCGTCATATTTGAGAACTGGGCCGACGGGAGAAACCTGAATCATTTCAGTTTTTTCATCTGAAAAAAGAAAAAGTTGACATGGAGAATGTTTTTTGAGGAGTTGTACTCATCCGGAGCTACAGAAAACTCGTAGAAAAGACTTTGTGACTTCATGACAATCAGCCAATCCGTCACGCGACTCACGTCCAGAGTTCGAATTTTCCTGAAAGTTTACTTTCTTCTCTATACTTGCGAAACTAATTGGCCCTGATATTAAACTATTTCCGTAATCAAAGGTCTGCTCAAATTCAGTTCTAGACGAATCTCAGGTCTTTCATTTCCTGAGCAGTTATTTGGCCTGCGATTCGCAGTATTTCAATGGCTCGAACCAGATTTTAATATTTTGGCTCACAATACTTGGCATTCGCGTATATTTTTGCCTTCTCGTCAGCTTCTACTGGTTTACATTCTCTGTTTTTGTCTAGCTTTGCAGTTTTTTCGCTGCCAAAATCTTCCGTGTCAAAACATCTCGAAAAGAAAAACTTTGTTTAACTTACGTCAATTTTTCAAGCAGTGTCTTAAATCCACTGTTGTCGGGATTTTCCGTGTGCTCGACGCACTTTTGATAATAAATGTACATAAGCTCGTATTCTCTCCCAGGGGCTTTTTTAGACTTTGTGAGGATTTCTGAAATAAAGTCTAGGGAAAAATCGAAAGAAATTGATATCCGTCATTCAAAAAGACCTGAAACTCCAAAAAACATTTTTTTTTTCAGTAAGATGAGTTTCATCCCTGTTAACTTTTGGACTTACTACTGAAGGTTTTTTAGCCCTCGATTGAACTTTTGATGGAACTTTACTGAAGTGTACCTTAGGACCTTCTGATTTCGAAATTGGATAAAAATTCTCTCAATAAATCTGGCTTTTGAGTTAAAACGTTCCAAAAGCTTGAAAAAGCGCTTTGCTAGTTCTCAAATCATCAAGTACTCTTCAACGAAGTTTCATCGAAAGTTTAACAGAGGGCTAAAAAAACGATTCCTAGTGATTACCTTTGGCCGCTGGTTGTGAATTTTCTTCAAATTTCGAAGTGTTTTTTTTTTCGTTTTTTTTTTCAAAAGTTAAGACAAGAAGTCTAACTGGCAGACTTTTCTTGCCAAATTTGAGAAAAACTCGGAAGTAAAACATCTTCCATTTGAGTTCTTTTTGAAAAACTCCTGCACTCATTATGTACGTTTTTGAGCAATGTGAGATTCTAGACCTTGGATGCGCTGTGTGAGCTTGTTGGAAATGAGCTGGCTGTGGCTGATCTGAGACTCGTTGAACGGAATCGGATGTTTGGCCTTCCATCCATTGCAGACGTGTCCGTAGAAGTCGATGCACGGGTCTATTGTATAGTCTATCGATTCTACCAAATCCTTGTAATCGACCACTTTTTCCTTCTGCGAAACTTCTAAAAAATTCAAAAATTTATTTTTCCGATCTCTTTGGACGTGCTCAAAAATACATACGTATGCATGAGAAGCCAAAATCAAAATCTGCTTATACATTTCAAATATTTTTTCTCTTTCCACTCGTGAAGCTATGCAAAAAAAGCAAGAAATACTTGAAAATTTTTCTGCTCACATTCTTAAGAGCTTTTTTCTTTTTTTTTGTTTTCAGATTCTTTTTCTTGTCATTCGATCGCGAAGTTTTTTCTTCTTTTGAAAGTTTAATGTTACATTTTGTGTTCCAAAATTTTTAAAATTTTTTTTGTAGCGGTTGAGTTGAAGTTTTTTTCTTGTTACGCGTAAGTCCAGCTCAAACTGTTTTATTGGGAGGAAAGGAAGGAAAAAATCCGGCTAACCCAAATTTTCTTTCGAAACATCAACAGGACGACCATCAGCATTCACAGATTGAATTTGGTCGAAAGTCAGTCTTCCATCTTCGATTTGAGCGTTTTTGAATATCAGCGTAAGATTAGAAGTCCGCAAATTTACGCCAGGTAGTACAGAGTTCAAATCAACAATGGTCGTAGAAATCAACTGAGCCAGAAAAAAGATAGATACAACTCTATTCATTCTTTGGCTTTCATCGAGAACTCCGACGTGTGTAAAAATGAAAAAAACGCGAGATTTTCGACAAAACGCCACAACTAGTCGTTTATCCACCTTTTCTGTATCTTTCATTGTTACTCAACCGTTGTCCGGTTTTGGGCGCTTACTCAGCAACAAAAAATTTATAGAGATCATATTTCTTTTTTTTTCATTGTGGCCCGCCATTCGATAATAGTGTGCATACTGGTTTTGGCAGGAAAAAAAGTCACTTTTATCCAACAGAATGCCAAAAACAAATTTTGGGAGAAAGGGTCTGAAGAGTTCATGTTTTAAATTTGAATTGGAAAGATTCAATTTCGCAGAAAATGTGATAGGCTTCAACTTGTTAAATTTACCTTTTTTGGGTTACGAAAAAGTATTTTTTTTATCGAGTAGTATAACCTGTTCCACACCTTTTTTGCTCATAGTCGGAATCAAGATGTCTGATAGACTGAAATATTTTCTGTTTTCAATTTTTCTCAGCAGTATATCAATGAAATTTCAGCGCGTTAAGACATTTTTCGACAATTTTTTCGACCAAAACGCTTCAATTTTGAAAGAGGCGTCTCTTGAGAGCTTCAATTCCCTATAACGGCGGAAAATGGTGAAAACACGAAGAAAGCACTTGTGCTCGTTTTTCAAAACACAAAAAACGACTTGCGTGACGTAACGCCAGGGATAAATGGGATATTATTCATATTCCTTAGTTTTTTTGTTTCCTAAAAATTTCTTCCAAATTGGGATCCATGGTGTAAAACATTATTGAAAAAAATGTTTTTTTATTTTCTTTAAGAAGAAACAGGAAAAAGGAGGACGAGACTACTTCAAAAAAAAAAGAATGCTTTTGTCTGGGTTTCCCTCCATATTTGCCAAATATTATTTCGCTGGCTCCAAGTTCCCAGCCGAAATCAAAAACAATTTCTGTTAGCGTTTGGTAAAGCGACTAATTTGACTCGCTCTGTTATTCATGTCCAAAAAACGCTTGATTTATTGAGAAGGACCACGCTTGGCACTGTTTTTTTCCACGAAAGAGTTAGATATTTAGAACTCAAATTTTGACAACCTCTCAAATGAAAACAAGTTTTTTTTTTATATTAACAAGACAAAAATATTTTCATGTGTATGATACGTCTTGTCTGAAGCTTACTATGTTGGCATTTTTTTGAAAAACTTCTATCTGGTTTTCAGTTAGTTTTTGTTTTTTTTTTTGTTTCCCATCATTTTTTTTCTGGTTTTAATATGTTCAAAGCTTGTATTATGACTACAAGAACAGTACTTTCTGTCCCTTCCCATCGACGTTTGCCTTCAAAAGAAAGAATTTCGAGAGAGCATCAGGAAAATGAAAAAGCAATGGGAGTTATCGGGGATTGAATGAATTATAAATGACCACACGGTCGAAAGATTTGTTTTGAATGTCTTCCCGTCACAGGCTGTGTTTTGGCGACTTCCATCTTTTGCATATCTCGTCACGGTCTTCCTTGCATTTTTGCTTCCTCCTCAAGGTGAATGAATAGACCCCTGGGGCTCCCAAAAATGAAGAAGTTTTGCTGTGGTGCAACAAAGGAAAAAGGATAGCCGAAATTGTCTCCTTTTATTTTTGAACAATTAGTTCGCTTTTTTTTTTTTGGGAATCCAGTCCATCTCTCGGTTTCTTCTGGTCAGGTGCTTGAAAAATGCCTGCGCTCGGGTGAAGAGCAGTGCGTTCTTTGTTTTTAGAAATATCATATTTTCTGGAGCCCACTTCTTTCAGCGTGATCTGATCATGTCAAAAAATTTCGAAAGTTTTTTTTCATTATATAGTCCGCTTCGATAAAGTTTCTCCTTCATCGTTTTTCACTTAAAAGTTTTTCAAACGGTTTGAAGCTCACGAAGTTTCGCGCGAAATTGAACGGCTCCTTCCGCGAATATCATTCAATTCATTTCATTTGCGAGGAACGAAAACGATTCCAAGTTCGTAGGGACCCGTATAGCTTCTAAGAAGTTTGGCTGGTGTGGTAATTTACTCGAACTCGGACAGGAAATGGGAAAATTCCTTCCAAATCGGAATTCTTATTGTAGCAGACTGGCACAAAGTCATTTGGCAGAAGGCTGTTAATATTAATGCTCCTCACGGCGTTGGGTAAAGCGAACACCTTTGAGACACATTGTCACAACTCGTTTTTTTCCCATGTGTTCTTCGGTCTGTCCATGATTCCCACAGCCTATAAACTTTTTGTATCAATCTTTTCTTAATGATGTTTTAACTGTATTTTGGAGCAACGGTCAGGCTCAGCATTTATCATTTTTTTCATCCTTTTTTTCTTTTTTTAAAGTCTTCGTAAAGTTTTTTTCTCAAAAAGTCAATTTTTTTATTTGTATACAATAACAGCTTTTTGATTGCGGCTAATGGATTAATTCAATTTTTTTAGATTTTAGTTTTTTTAAAAATAACAATTAATTCGATATAAACTTGCGTGAAAAATTCAAGCTTGAAAAATATCTACACTTTGTTATCCCACAATGAAGTAATAGTCATAGTTTTACAATAAATAAGGAAACTAAAAAATTTCGAACTCATCCGTTACGAAGGAAATTCTCAATCTTCCCAATGCCAGAACGCCGAATTCATCCCAAATTTCAGGAAAAAAGTTTCTCTTCAGGATCAAATTTCCGTATATCTGAGACTTTGCGACTCATAAGATACTTTGTTTCTCCGTCATAGGAACAGTTTAAAAAAAGTTCGTGATTCAGCGTTTGTTGAAAAAGATTTCGGGTCGATTCATTGATACAGCCACCTCCACTTTCCCAAAGTTTAACAAAGTACAGCCTATTTCTTTTTACCGCATTTTTCTTCTTTTCTTTCTGTTCCAATTTGACATAATAACCGACAATTTCCAAATCTGTAGATATTTTTAAATAGAAAAAATTCGGTTTGGGCTGAGATGCCGCTAAACATCTTCAAACCACCTCGAAAAATTGTACAAACCGAATTTTTCAAAGACCTTTGAACGGCTAGTTCCTTTCTTTCAGAATATTTCTGCAAATTAAGGTTTGAAATGAGTTTTGCCGTTTTCACTCTCTTCGAGTTGTCCTTTCGAAAAGAAAATTATAAAGTGCGAAAAACATTAGTTCAAGTTTTTGTTGTCTATTTGGCTGGATTCTCTTTTTTTATGGGTATCATAGGTTTTTAAAAATATCGAGATAAATATAGCCAACAAAAAATAAATTGTAGTGGCCAGAATCAACAATAAACGTTTCGAAAAAAATCATTTTTTTCTTCAAACTTTTAAAAAGAGCACATCCGGCTTTTTGAAAAAAATAAGGGTTTTCTTGTTTCTAAATTGGAAAAAAACTATTAAGACAAATTCATATCTAAAGAAAAAAAGCCAAGAATGTTCGTTGAAATTTGACGCGTTTATTTTTCAAAAGGTTTGCTCACGTCTATATTGCAGCCCATCTGAACGAATATCTCTGATTCTCTCCACATCTCGCGTCTTCATTTCGAGAGGCGGCGTCGGATGTGTTGAACCTCTGAGCTTTCGATGACACCTAGAGGTTTGTTCATTCCAGCTAAAGTTTTCGTTCGGTCCAGCTTCAAACAGAGAATTCATTTTAGCACAGTTTTTTTTCGACCTTCAAACTTTGATTCTATGAATTTCTTCATGAATCCTCTCATTTCCATTTTCTATGAGTTCACTGTTCCTTCACACCCCGTGGAATTATTCGAATAATTTCCCATCTAAGATGATTCATCGCATGAAAAAATGTTTGTTTCAGAGACTAAAAAATCAAAAAATGGGAAGTTTGATCAAAATATCCAGCAAAAAGTGGCATTTATTTTATTTCTAGCGTGAAACAGGAAAAATTGGAACCAAATTGGAATTTCACTTTCATCTGACAAAATTTGGAAAACCAGCGAAAAAGCCTCGAAATGACAATTGCGTGTCGTTTTTCATCATTTCGAGTTGGTTTCTATACGCATAACGGAAATTTCTTTCTTAGAGTATTTCTCATTTGTTGCATGGAAAAAAGACAAAGATGATTTGCAGAGATCGACTTTTCAGTCCAATTTGAGATTAGAATTACTCACACTGTGGATCAAGTAAAAAGGAATATAAATCGCTGATTATCAAAGGATCTTGAAAGCTTTATCCTGTTCATTTGAGTCACAAGAGAGGAATATTAATAATTAATATATGTACATCTTCTAGGCGTTTTTTCTCTTTAACGCATGAGAAGTCGCTTGTTAAATTACAAGCTTCCAGTTTTTTTGAACAAGAGAAGAAGATATTGTTAACATGAATGTATAATTTACTAGAAATTTTTTTACAGCCATTCTACAGGCGTATTTTGAGCTTTGACCGGATTCAAAAAATTGAGAGTTATAAAACTCTATGTGGATAATATTTTTTTTAGCCTCCCCCCCCGAGTTTTCAATTTTTTTTTTCGCAGCATCAACCTGACAGGCCCGACAGACAGAATTGCGTGAAAAGACTTTTATTTGAATTCCGAAGTTGTAATTCGGTTTTTCTTCACCCTCTTTTCTATTTTCAACTTTTTTTCAACTCTGATTTTTTTGAGTCTTCAGCTTGATTCCAAATAATGATTTAGTCATCAAATAAAATCAATTTGAGTAAAATAAGTCATAATTTTTTTTCATCCATTTGAACAAGAAGTTGAAAATTGGCCAGTTTCACTCGATTTTGAATTTTGAAGTTTTTTGTGCAAACGAAACATTTCTATCTGAGATTGGGAAAAACTAAGAAAAAAAAGGCAAAAAAATTTCCTGAAGATTCCAAGCTTGCCATTATTTTAAAGAAATCTAGAGAGAGCTTTTAAGAACATCGTGAAAGCTTTTAATCTGAGAGATAACATACCTTCAAAATTTGCAAAAATTTTTCTGCAAGAGATTTGAGATCAGCTGTTGAAAAAAATGATTCAGGGATATGCTCCCTTTTAAAGGATTGTAGCCTTCGAAAAAAGTTTTTTGTGTTCTCTTTTCAGAA